CCCCGCCACCCAACGAGGACTGGTGGGCGGGGTGACCCATGAGGTGGGTGTGTCCCTGAGGGGCGGAGTCATCGGAGTGTCTGGCGGTGAGGCAGAGGTGCATGGCGTAATCCTGCATGACCTCAAGAAAACTCACTAGAGGAAAGACTGGAGAGAGAGAGAGAGATGATTGGGAAGAAATGATTCACATTTCTTTTAGCACATAATATTGCATTCACAAGCAAACCTTGTGGTGCATAACTTATTTGAAAGCAAAAAGGACAGACATACAGACTTTACTGCTATAGGTCCGAGATATTTGGATTTCACACGCGCATCACAACACAGTTTGAACAATTTCCGCATATATTGGAGCAAAATTTCTACCAGTTGAAACTCACTTCTCGCACTAATTAAGTTAAAGACTTAATTTGTCGGGAAACAAATGGAGGCAGACGAATGGGCTCACTTTCAGCTCTGTCGTCCTGAGCAGCTGCATCCTTCTCAGTCTTAATCTTCACTCCAGCTGAACTCTCCGACCCTCTCTCCTTCGGACTCTCTCGGGCCTTCTCTCGAAAAAGTCGAGCACAGAGGCATCCAAATCGGAACCGCATCAGACGAACGTACACACACGCTGATCGCAGAGATCGCGCACCTATAATAGATAGCTGTTATAGAGGTACCTCTAGGTCTGCTCGACCATTATGCTCTCTCTAGTCTTATGAGACGATGTCCTTAAGAGGGCGGAGCACATACCCGGGATGAGCAACTAAGATTTCGAGTATAGAACCGCTAGCCAAATATGCAATGTCATCAATTCTGGCTTCTCTCTCCTGTCTGTGAATAAGAGAACAGCACGCGCGTAGAGTGGGATGATATAGAGAGGTTGCGGCTGATGTTCGAGCAGTAATGTACACGTCCAGTAGTACACATTCATTATTCACTCAGGTGTCATCACTGTCATATGGCTTCAGCACGGCCATATTTCACACTACTACATACGTGAGGTACGTAATATACTTCACCCAATGAAGTGCTAACTAGATGAAATTAGGGAAGACCTAGTCTACCTGCAAAGTTATTTTCGTTGACTGGGATTTATAGAACAGTCAGGCATGCGTAGTAATAATACAGGCATAAGAATCGGATAATATACACTGTATGGGAAGACTAACTGTGGCACAGTACGAAAGGGCCCAGTGCTTATTTAGAAGTGCAATCTAGGTATTCGTTTTAGACATAAACTTTTCTCAAATTGGCCTTTAAAATCACGCGATTTTAATCCCTCTCTCTAAGCGGGCCTCCAGCCCTCGCGATCGCCCACGCTGATTGGGGATTTAGGGAATTAGGTGGTTGAGGGTGTCCACCTAATCTGTTCACCCTAAAACGTTGAAGTGAGATGGAGTGCTGTCTCCCAGAGTTGGTTGTCCCTGGCCTGACCAGAGGACCTTCACGATCGAGGTCACAGCCGCCACACTGTCCAGCTTGAGTCTCCGAGAGCTGCTTACAGACTGCGCTCATCGATCAGATTTATCGTTCTGCATCAGAGCTCTCCACGCGCGCTGTGTGAACGAGGGACTCCGCCAGTGGTCAAGAGCCAGAGCCGAGTCCAACAGTGCCAGGTTCACATAGAGGGCGTGGGCCTCCGGGAGGACCGGAACGAGACGGTTGGCAGTCGCCAGGACGCTGATTGGAGTGGGCGTGGCCGCTTCCAACGGTGACGGGATCGGCGTGGAGGCGGTTGCCACGCCCGAGAGGAACTGGGAGGAGGGTTTGGAGGAGGAGTGAGAGAGAAGTGCGGGGGAAGAGGTGAGGTTTGTGAGGCGGGGGGAGCGATGGCGCGAGGAGAGAGGGAGCGTGAAGCTGTCTATCTTAGAGCGAGAGGTGAGCGTGGAAGGAGGAGGAAAGATGAACTTCTGAGGGTGAACTTGCTGCGATGAAGATCTCGAGGAACACGTGCTGAGAGGAGTGGGAGAGAGGAGTGGGAGAGAGGAGTGGGAGAGAGGAGTGGGAGAGAGGAGTGGGAGAGAGGAGTGGGAGAGAGGAGCGGGAGAGAGGAGGGAAAGAAGAAAGAAGACTTGATGAGTGGTCAACCAACAGGGAACCAGTCTTACTCTGTTTCAGCTGCCATCAGTTTGTGAGACTGGTAGAGAAGGAGAGAGAAGGAGAGAGAGATAAACAGTTAGCACACACTCACACACACACACACAAACAAACAGCATGCTCACCTCTTTCTTGACGTATATACAGTGTAAAGGTAGCTTGGGTCGTGGGCTAAGGGGTAGGGGGGCGAATTCCAGGGGAACCAAATTCATCTCGTCCTCCACGGACCCCTGTATACACAGAGAGACAATGCAGAGGACACCATCACTCAAAGATATACACATTGATTATAACTAAGTCTGCGTAGAATTTTAAAAAAAGAAAAAAGAGAGAGAAAGCAGCTGTGACTGACCTCCCCCTCCCAGATGGAGACGGGCCCACTCTCCTCCATCATCTCCGGCTCATCGTATCTCTTGTCGCTCGTCTCCACAGAGGGAGGGGTTGGGTAGATCTTGGAGATGGCGATTGGGTCCGTGGTCGGGAGTCTGGTGGCGTGCAGCAGTTTAGTGCCACCCAAACCCTCGTTCATGGACCCGGCAGCCATGAACTGCATCGATGACTGGAGAGAGGAATAGAGGGGAGAGCTAAACTTTCGTACTTAAAGTGAGCAAGTTGGAGGAAGGAAAAGGTAACCTTGACTATTGATGAAGTGTGCAGTGCAATAAAAAAAATCTGTCACCTAAATTATTGGTAGTTTTAGTAGGCAGTCAACCACTCTATTATGGAAGTGTTCAGAACGTATATATTGGAGGTTTGCTGGTGTGAGCACAAATGCTATAAATTTAACCCCAAGCTCACTGAGGGCCCCTCCTCTTCCTCCTCGCTGTCCTCAAAGATCTGGTCCAGACTGCCGTCTATCTTCACCGCCTCCTTGCTGAGCAGCAGCTCGTCCAGCCCCGCCTTCCTCTCCCCCTCTCCCGGGTACTCCGCCCCCCTCCGACCCCAGACCAAACGACCCCGGGGGACCAGAGTGGAGGGTTCCTTCCTCTGTCATACTCAGGGGGCTGTCGATGGAGTGGGGTACCCCAAGACCGGGGTCGAAATTCTCATCTTGGGTACCTGCATAGGGAAATCCAACATTCCTTACATTCCAGAACCCCAACATGTTGTCTAAGATGTTTACACGAGTGCTTAAAAACCACACCCACCGTTGGTTTTGATGGTGGTAGTCTTGGCAACGAGAGGAGGGAGGGGTTGGTTGGTGAGGGGTGTGTTTGGTCGTCGTGGCGACGGGGAGAGAAGTGATGAGAGGGTGTGGCCAGGGAGTGGAGCCAACCCTTCTCGTGTCTGGTGGCGAGATCTGAGAAAGAGAGAAGCCAGCTGACACCAGTGGAAGAGAATGTTCGACACTCATCGCAAGAACCATACACACAAAAGTATGCAGTTTTTACAATTCAGCACCAATTTTTTTATTTCCCTCTTTCTTCTACTATTCTGAAGTACAAGTGTTAGTGCATAGAGAGAAACATGACCACAGATATTCCCTTACTGATCACATGGTGCATGCACACTATTGCAAGAGGCGAAGATATTCAATATTCCCCTCCAAAAACACCACCGCTCTGCAAATACCTGACTGAGGGCAGCTGCAGCTGTGAGAGAGAGTGTGTGCTGGCTGGCAGAGGAAGGCAGCTGGTCCACGTCAGTGAGAGGGGACGGTAGTTGTGGGCAGAGGAAGGGGGCGTGTCCTCGGCTCCGGAGATCTGGGCCACACAGGATGGGTTGTAAGGCTTCGAGGTAAGAGGGAACACCCGTTGCCCTGGAACGTAGGCGAAAAAACAGTGTTTTTAAAGCTTGTTTTGTTGGCATGCGTTCTCCATGAATTGTTCAACTAACAGGGAAGAGAGAGAGAGAGAGAGAGAGAGCAGTACCTGTTGAAGATGGCGACTGCAGTGTGATGGCTGGAAGAGGGACTTGTGCAGGAGTTCCTTTGTGAGAGAGTGAGGAGATGGAGGTGGAGGAGGAGGGGAGGGGGGGAGGAGGAGGGAGGGAGGGACGGAGACACCACTGGCGTCGTACTGTACATGGGGAGACTCGGCTTGCTCAGCTTCCTCTTCACGCTCAGCTGCGGTGTGTTGGTGGTGATGGGTGTCATGGCAGGCAGCGCTCTCGGGCGACGAGAGTAGGGCTCGAACCGGTGGGAGGGGTGGGTGGGCGGGGCCTTCAGGGGGAGTGGCTCCAGCTGGCTTGAATGTCGTCTGCTACTATAGAGGGAGGAAAAGGGGGAGGAGTGGAGGGAAAGGAGGTAAAGTGATGTAATTCCGTTTCCCCCAACCTCTTATGGGCACTGGAGTCTTGACAGTGGCACTGTGTGGCTTCCTTGTACTTCCTGCATATTGTATAATAACACACAATTATCATGGCAGTCAACGTTGACCTAAAGAATACTGGCTAGTGTGTGATCAGGTTGAGAAAATTCACTGTTTTTCACAAATTTTCTTTGGTTATACTCTCTTGCGGTTAGTCTTGTATAAATGGTCCAGTCTTGGTTTTGTAAACATTAATGAAAAACACCACGAAGTTTCGTAGAAAACCAGTGAATTCTTAACCCCAACAAAACGTGAGAAGTGACCCAAGCAACACAAATACAATAGCACGTCTCCCTCCTCCTCTTCCTCCTTTCCCCACCTCCTCCCACTCACAGTTCAGTGTCTCCTCCTCTCGTGGCCTCCCACACTTCATGCACCGTGTCCTCGACCTCTCCCTGGTTCAGGGGGGAGGGGGGAGGGGTGGGGAGCGAATCCTCGCCGTGGTAGACCAAAACAAACTGAGAGGGGTACCGCATTCGCACCCCTCCAATAACGACCTCGATGGCCGCCGGAAGACCGAGGGAAGAGTCGGCCGAGAACCGACGTGGGAAGAAGAGTTTCCATTCCTCTAGGATCTTGTCGATTCCGGAGTCTGAGAGAGAGTAGCTGTGGCCAGTCATGACCGCATTGAGACCACTGGGGCTGAGGATGACTGTCGGAGAGAGAGGGGGGAGGGAGAAGAGGGTTAAACACAAAAGGAAAGACAGAGAAAAAGAGTTAAAACCTTCTTCTCAATGTCTACATACTGCATATTCATTGGGGGTGTTTGTGAGGTATTCAAATTGCCACGCACACAAAGAACTGTGAGGTAATGCTGTATATGTGAACAGGCCATGATACCAGTACAGGAGGTCAACCAAACCAGCAGTAGCTCTGTGAGGCACGACATGTACACGGTGCCGTATTTAGAGTTGGTCTAGACGGCACATCATACCTTCACTGTGCAACATGGGGTTTTTGGTCTGAAGTCTAGTGTAGCATCAGTCAACAAAACTACACAACAAATACTTCACTAGAGACTAGTAGTATGCATACGCACGCGGACACACACACACACACACACACAACAAAACTTTCTGGAACGGTACCATGACGTCACAAAGAAATGACATCATGCGTGCCGTCACAGAGGGCCTCTCAATCCTTTCCTAACAGCTCTCAATAGTAGTACACGTATAACTTTTCCTTGATAACTCTTTGACTGACTTGGTGAAACAGCACACACGTACCCTGTAGGCCGGTGGAAGAAGCCAGAGCCTGACTGACATGTGAGGGTAGGAGGGGCTGGAGGGCGGGGCCTGCTCGCATGTCGACACTCGCACACACGTAGAGATGGGCGTGGACAAAGAACGAGAAACTGCACAGGAAACAGCCTCTGGAGCTGGGGGAGAAGAGGGTTAATGTGTAAGTAAAATACCTTAATTCTGAAATACATCTTAGGACAAATCGAAAAAACGTTGAATTGAAGTTTTAGTTTCTAAACTGAAGAAGAGGAAGATAGAGACGGAGAAAGAGGAATGGGGAGGGAGGGGGGGTGTGAGCTGACCTCCCATCAGTAGCCACTGAGGAGTCTGGTCTGGCAAACCACTTCCCCAGGGGCAAGAAGTTCTCACTCAGCAACGACCTGAGCGGAGAGAGATAGAGCAACGATAGGAAGCTGAAAAAGGAGAGAAGAGAGAAGAGAGAGACCTCTCGATGAGGTTGTGAAGGGCTCTGTAGAGCATCGTGGTCGATTCTTTAGTCATCTCCTCTTTCCAGTTACCACGCTCCGCCTCTGCAGTAACGACAAACAAACAAACAACTGGGTAATGGGATGGATGTGAGTGGCGTGCAGTAATGTGTTCTGGTGTGGCAAGAGACGACCTGGGGGGACCTTACCTTCCAGTCCAGCAGTGAGTTTGGTAGAGAGGTCAGGCTGGTCTGTGAAGTAGAACAACCACAGATCCTTGGCCTCTCCTGTCTGACCGTCCGTTGAGGGAGAGAGTCGGCGCCACGCACAGGCATAGCTGAGAGAGAGAGAGAGAGAAGAAATGGGAGAGAAACGGCCAAACATACTCAACCATCTCCATGTCAAGTAAAATAGTCATACACACACATTACTACACACTATCTGAATGGTCTACACTAGTTGACTCACCCCTCGCTGAGCAGCTGTGCATACGTCTTTAGGACCGGATCATCCTGAGGAGCTTCCAGAGTGGAGCTCGTTGGCCCAGTGTACCTGACCCAACACAGCCCCGTCACATCAGCCTGTCCACAGGAGAGGAAGGGGGTTAAATAATTAACTGGAGGTTGTTATTCCAATTGGTGCCCATCACCGTATTTATGGGTTGCTGGTCAAAATATAATCCCTGGGGGCCCTCCTAGGGTCATTAGTCCTGTACAATCACTTACAGCCACAGGTAATCAAATCACCTCCTAAATCAGTGCCAGACAAATGCCCTGCAGGTCAACTGCAATGGGTGCCATCTTTAGCTACTGGTGGGCAGGCGGCTAGCGGGATATTGGTGGCTGGGCCAAAAACACATGCAGTGCAGACCTCTCGAGAAAAATAGGACAACAAATCATCGACAGCGAGAACAACTATGACGTCATATAATAACAACATCAGGCCGAAAACGAGGGTTTGTCTGGCGCGCTAGGTGGCCTACCAGTTTAAAGACGTTAGACAGGGAGTTGGCGAGGCCCACGGAGGCCTTGACTTCCATGGAGGTGGCGCTCATAGTTCCACCGCATTCAAACACGGTCCACAAACACGGGCGACGTCGAGATCTGAGACACGACGGCGGGATCGAGGACCCAGAGAGGGTGACCGGCTATAGACCTCCCGTGCCCTCTCCTCTGTCCGGCATGAGGGCGTGAGGCAGGGCGGTCGCGGGTTTTCGGTGTCGGCGGTGTTAAAAAATGGCGTCAATGTCTTTCACCTGGGCGGTCAGTTACGCATTCCTGGAATTCTGGAGACGGCTTGGTATGACGTCACGAGCAAAACGTCATGCGGTGTTTTTCGTCACTCGCGTGATCAGTTACGCCGCAAAACTCGCGCGCTTTTTTCCACTCCAAAGTGATCAGGAACTCATGTCGGGGAATGCCGAAGGACTGCGCGTCCAGTGCTACACTTGCGGAAACTGGTACGACGCCGAGGACGTCACGATACCCCTCGAGTGAGTGAAAACCCGCGGAAATTCCAATTGAAGCGCACCTACCGTAACTCCATGCGTGACGTCATACTTACCTACAGTGGCTACATTCCGTTCATGACAAACTATGAGTACTGCTGTGGGTCATGTGGAACAGAGACCATTGTCAAGAAGCCAGCCAGTGAGCAAGACGCCGTCCGCTGACTTGTTTTTTCACCTCCGCTACCTCCCCTTCTCCATCTCTCCCTCTTCCTCTTCCCTCCTTCCCTCCCTTGTCTCTCTTCCCCTATAGGTTTCATCCAAGTCATCATCACTACTCTGGCAAACCTGCAGGCCAGCCACATATACCATGACCCTCCTGAGACTTGTTTCTCGCTTCAAGATGTAATCAATGCACCAAATAACAGAAAACAGTCTTGAAGAGATCTTTATCATGCCTGAATAAACCCCCTCCCAACAAATTCTTTTAATTTGTATAATGCAACAAAAATATTTTCAGATACCTCTTAACCTTTAATGTGCTGTGTACTGTGGCTTGTGTTTATTCTCTCTCCTCTCTCCACAAACATGGGTCCCAGGATATTATTCCATTCGTCTGGGACCACTGGGACATGATCTGCACCAAACGCAGCAAGACTGGGAGCTGGAAAAACAACCTCGCCACCAAACTTGTCTGTCCAGTTTTACTCGTTTGTGTACGAGTCAGCCCCTGTGATTAATCCGACAGGCGACGGAGACGAGACTGTTTAGAGAGGAAGAGACAGGCTCACAGAGATTTGGTCTCGTCGATCAGGTAGACGTTCTTTATATTGATTTCCGCCAAACTTTTCTTGCCGTACAATGCATCTATTATCATTGGCAAGTACAGTTTTTGTTGAGCCATATTTTTCTCCTCTCCTGGAACATGTGCAGGATCTGTCTACAATTGGTCCGAGGCGGTATGAAAGTAAAGCAGTCCCGACACGCAGTGTGGGGAGAATGAAGAGACGACTGGACAACAGCCAGGTCAACTCATCTGCCACCAAGAGAAACAAGAGGTGAGACGAGAGAGAGAAGAGAGGGGGTGAGAGAAGGAAGATGTCAACTTTACAACATTGCCTTCCCTCTCTCACTCTGGCCTCTGTCATTCCTGTTGCTATAGTGACGCCCCTACATCAAAGGGATTGTCTCATGGTTACCCTCTGGAGCACCCCAGCAACAAGGTATGCACACACACACATCATTCCCATCCTCCTATATACACCCACCTCCATTTATATCGCTAGTGATGCATTTAGGTCCCACACACACACACACACACACAGCCCAGTAGAATGTATGTATCTCCTACTCCAGGATGGCTACCGGTACATTCTGGCAGAGAAGGATCCCCATGCGGTACTGGAACTGGACCCAGAGGAGATGGCGGGCCGACCGATACCACCTGAGCTCTACCGACCAGCCATGGCCACACAGGTTCTGCTGGCTCTGCATGACAGAGGTTGGAATCTCTGTTCCTTTGATAGCATAATGGCTCTTTAACTATGTGTGTGTGTTTGTGTGTGTGTGTCAGCGTCTCAGCTAAGAGTCGGAGAGGACAGACTGACTGTAACCGGGGACAAAGGGTACTGCATGGTCCGCGCCACGCACGGTACGTAGGTGTGTGTGTGTGAGTAGAAACCAAATATCTCTCTCCCCCTCTCATCATCGCAGGCGTTTCTAGTGGAACCTGGTTTTACGAGGCAAGTAAATATCGGCAGTAATAGTATCAGTTTATGTTCAAAAGTGAGATTTCCTATCAGTGATAAAGAAATTCGAGCACATTCTTCCATTTTGATTTTTTACCTGTTAACGCCATTGGACCTGAAATCCTTACCAAATTATATTTCATCAGAACATCTCTTGTGTTGTTTTGCGAGTGCTGCTCACCCCACCATACTCCACTCTCCACCTGTATACAGGTATATATGGCGGACCTGGACAGTGTTCCCGAGTGTGCAGTGAGACTGGGATGGTCCCAGAGCCTAGGTCTAGTCAAGATTCTCGACTCCATCAGTAACCTCTCCCTCTCTCTGTCCTATCAACAGGGAATCTACAGGCCCCGTGTGGTCTTGATAAACTCAGCTACTCATGGCGGTCGCGATTCGGTACCAAATTCCACCAGAGCAGGGGGAAGCACTACAGGTCAGTAATCTACCCTGCCAGCTCAGGATTCTCGGGATTTACTGAGTGTGTCCACATTTCAGTGAGAGCTATGCTACTGGAGACACCCTGGGGCTCCTGATCCATCTTCCCAACCAGAAAACTCAGAGTTAGCCATCTTCCTCTATTCCTTTCTTTCTCTGCAACAAAGAAGTTCTTTCACGTTTTACAAAGCCACCCCTACACCCAGTGTAGTTACTTGTATTCTGTGCAAATTAGACCACAAGTGCAGGTCTGTACACGTGGATACAAGTATTGGTTTGTTTTTGGTATTAAAAAATGTGGGGGTAGATTTGGAGACCACAAACAGAAGGGCGTCACAGCGAAAGTAGGCTGGACGCCCAGCGGTGGCCTTTGCCCCTCCAAAAATTGCGTCACGAACGGAAGTCGTGAGATCCCGCGTCACCAGGATCTGTTATTTTCCTTACTCATTAGTTTAAGGCAATTTCCTGCTCTTTTGCGCTGCCTTATATACCGTAGAGTGACTGGAACAGTTGTGGTTTTAGCAATTATTCATAGCTCCCACCTTTGTCCCCGCAGCCAGCAAACTGCCGCCTACTCACAAAGACAAGGTAAGTGCTGAGTGGGAGAGGTATCAGAGGTGAAATCATATGCTCTGCTGAGTGGGAGAGGTATATATCAGAGGAGAAATCATATGCTCTTTGTGGCTATATACTCAGGCACTCATAAAATTCAAAAACTACTTCTATTTCGAAGAAAGAGACGAGCAAGTGGACGAGTTTGAAAAGGTATGTACATTTCCTTATTGCCATTACATAATGATGACCTCATACCATTTCAGACGCTCCGACCTCTGCCTGGAAGCAAGGTTTGAAATTGTCATAAATCTTACAACATCGCTCGCTGGGTGTTGTTTTTTTTCAGATTGAATTCTTCAAGAATGGTGTCACACAGGTATTTAATCAATACACACATGTGGTAATGAGTTGAACCGTTGCTGGTTGCTGCTCTTCAAGGGCGTTGGGTGGACAGACATGTATGCCGGCACTTACTACCCTGCCCTCTCCCTGTACCGTGGAGCTACTGTGAGAACAAGAGAAGGGGGAGAATACTCTTACCATGAGTCGTGAAATTACACATATTTTTGTCAGATTTTCATCTCACATAACTGCCCCCAATACGGTACATTCTACTGCCACAGGTTACGGCAAACTTTGGTCCCAGTTTCAAGCATCCTCCAAGAAACGTCACTTACTCTCCAGTGAGCACTATATAGAATTTCCCATGATGTCATTGTGATGTCATTATAATTAGATGTCGCAGGCGGCGGAGCTGGGGATGCTGCAGCAGACCATGTCAGAGATGTTGTTCCATGTGGAGTGTCGGCTGGCCAGTCAGAGAGAAGACTAAACTGGGCACTCAAACACACAGAGAGAGGACACCCTGGCTAGCGAGGAACAATTGGGAAGCTTTTGTAAAATTGGGTGACTATTTTGCCCAATCAGATCCCAACAATAATAGTTCATTCACAACACCTCTACACAGACTACTAATATTCATCCTAACGATGTAGATAGTTGAACGCATCATGAGGACTTAACAACAAACGCTGAAGTGTTTTTTATTTACAGTATTCTCCGTTAAAGTTTTGACTTAATAAATAGTGATGGAGAATGGTACAATAATACACCATGCTCGCCTAGAGTCTAGTGTTTCTTGCTCTTGGCTGTGGTTGGTAGTTTGGACATCTCAGAGAAGGTGTGCCAGTAGACCAGGAGGGGAACGACTATCCACACTCCATTGCAGCCCACAAAGATCAGCCAGAAGTACTTGATCTTCAGGTAGCTGTCAAACCTCGGCCAAGGCCAGTCCTGTGCACAGTACAGAAATACATTCTGTCATGCGTCTGCTGTTTGCCGGGAAACACACACAATATCTGGTCATCCTTGCAAAAATTGATGGAGAAATCAATTTTTCTGCTATTTTTTTTGCCACTTGAATCGTCTGTTTTTGTTGGCTCTAATATTACTTCTGCACTCCTCAAACTTGCTATATAGCAGTTGGACGCATGGAGATGAAACTTACAGGAGATGGTAGATGTGAGAAGTTGCAGTGCCACTCACAGCCAAGATAGAGGATGCAGCCCATCAGCTGGAAAGTGGACACCAGGAGAGCATGGAAATGCTGGAACCATTTGCCCTCAACCACTCCCTTATACCTTCAACCATAGAGAGAGAGTTAACGGTAGCACTAAACTGGTTGGTTTAGAATCAATGGTAGCACACACGGTTTCTAGTGCCTATCCCATCAAACTGTTTGCTTTTATAGTGGGAATTGATTTTAAGGTAGTTTTCAACTGGAATCTTTCTTCCTTTAAAACAAGGGCTGCGACTGACTCACCAGAAGTAGCCGAGGGGGACATACACAGCCAGCTCGAGGTAAGAGATCCATGCGACTGTTGGATCGTCCAGTGGCCAGTAGCGGGTGTCCATCACTGCATACTCATCTGACAGGTACTTCGGGCCCCGGCCTAGCGCTCCAACAAAACTGGAGAGATGTTACACAAAGCATAAGTACTGCACCGAGTCTGTGGATTTTCAGTAAACCGGACCCTCCACAGTTTGGGCCCCCAAGGTATCGCACGTTCACTTTAGTTAGCAGCTCTTACAAGTCCATGGGGTGGATGAGCACCGTGTTCAGGAGCACCCAGAAGGCCAGAGGACCTCGCGGCCGGCCGACGGTGGCCAGACAGAAGAGCAGGAGAGAGGGGGGGAGGAGGTTGAACGGGTCGTCCCAACCCTCGCTAGTCAACCCCGCGTAGTTCAGGTCCCGGGTGAAGTTCTGGAGCCCTACCAGGTTTGGCAGCTTCATGTAGTCCATTCCTGCCATGCTCTGCTGCCGGAGACGTGGAAAAGACTAAGGGGAAGAAAGGTAGATGGTTCGGTCGTTTGTGGGGTGAGCAGCTTAGCTCGCACGAGGAGAGATCGAGCGAGATTCGAGATCCGCCCACTTTGTGCATACTTAATTGTGCGCATGCGCGATGGATTGCGCATGCGTACATTACTTTAGGATTCAATCTGATTTCTGCTTACTGAGAACACCAATACGTCTTAGAATTCTTGTTAGGAGCTTTTCTTTGGCAGCGGCAGCTGGCTGGAGTGTCCGTGTTGTGAGGTTGAAGACGGAGCCAAACGCTATGGCGATGACGGTGCACACAAAGCAGATGACGTTGTAGGGCATGGAGAAGTCGGGGGTCGGGAGGGACACCAGGAGGGGTTCAGAGTACAGCCGCAACACTGCCAGACTAATAGAGAGAGGTGAATTGTAGTGGATCAGGGGTTAATGCTATACTTTGCATGTGAAACATTCAACAAAAACGTTTGTAGCAACTGGACTGCCTTTCAAGATACTCACTCTTGATCTTGAGCTGCTAGAGATGTGCAGTTGGGGCATTCAGACAGTACTGTAGTGATCACTGCAGAGCTGGTGGGGGGGAAGATATCACCACCATAAGGGGAAACATTTCATCAAATGTCAATGTCTGGAGGCCAACTTGACGCAAGAGAATTTTCCGAACAGAGACTAAAGTAGAGTTAGTGAGTTCCTAATTTGACATGAAAGCTTCCCGTGGTAGTCATGAGGAGAAACAGGGGTGAAGGCTCACTTGATATAGAAGCCGTGGTGAGCGTCTGGCTTGTGTTCGGTCCACTTGAGATGAGCTCTCCTGAATTGGAGAGATAGGTAGGAGGTGGAGAGGGGAGGGAGGGAGAGACGAAGCTCCAACATGTGGGCCCTCCTCCTGTCCTTGGCTGGGACATAGTGCTGACTCAGAACTGTGGCTGCAGACGTAATATTAACCAACTGAACACTCTTCTATAATGGCAATATAGCATTACAGCAAATCTATTTGTACGAAATGCACCTACAACAGATTATACAGTGAGGGTTGTAAATTTTAAGATTTCAAGTTTTCTGTGTTGCAACATCTGTTCTTACAGATGAAAACCACCCAGCAGACTTAACCCGTGCCAAATTTTTGTAACGTGTTCTCTCTTCGAAAAACTTTCCACACCTTGAGAGACGGAGAGTGTGTGGAGATAGAGGCGGAAGAACCAGGGAACCATCTCCAAATAGAGCACCTCTACGGTGTGAGGGGCGGAGTTTGTGATCTCCGTGGCGAGGCCACCCCAGTCGTGACCTGACCCCACCAGATGACGACTTACCAGGAGCTCTGGTTGCTCCGGCATTACTGACAGAGAGAGGAGGATAAATAAACAACTCATCCCCTTTAGCAAAGTTTTCAAACGGCCAATGCTGTGAACATTGCTGTTTTGCAACTCATCCACACTACATGAAACAATTTAGTGACATTTGCCCCCAACATTAAAGGCAATGTGGCAGTAGACGAGGGCTAATTTAGAAGTGTTACTAAAGATAGAACTAAGCCAGCGCAAGAATGCAATTACGTTTTCATTTCCAGCAACAGTTTCTAAATTTACCCCTTACACTGACACAAAAGCCACCCGAACTATTATGAAACAAATACCAATATTAACCCCTCCCACAAAAAGAAAATTGGGTGTCTGACTGTGGTAGGCCCAGGAAGATGAGGAGACAGAGAGAGGGGGGAGGGGCTTGGAGGTTGTGGAGTTGGTGAGGGAGTGGAGGTCAAACACAGCTCGGTCTCTCCTGCGACCAGCCACCTCCACTGTCCCAGTCAGAGAGGGGGTCTGGGACAGAGACACTTGCACTCCCTGCAGCGGTCACGGGAATCACGTGAAAATCATCCAATGAAAACATTATATATATGCAGTTTGCGAGCCACGAGGACAGGTTTTTCTCTCAGAAATTTTGTGGATGGGCGCCATTTGTACAGCAGGTCTGTTGCTATGTTGAATTATGGTGGGTTGAGAGAGAGTTCTCATATTTGAAGGTGTGCCACATGCAATACACACAGAGTATATGTGATATGAATAGAGAAATGTCCTTACGTCAATGCTGTTTGTTTCCACGGTGACGGTGCTGGAAAACGCAAGGGGACACGCAGAAGTCAAAGGTCGATGAAAGAGAGATTTCAAACTCCATTCTAAAAAAACAATCACAATGAGTAGGAGCTGTAAACAAACATTTATTATTACCCAGAATAGAGGGGTTGGATGTCACGGGGGGCGGAAACACAACCGTCAGGGTCAGAGAAAGTCTCACTCCCACCTGGCCACACCCATCGTCCTGCGAGAGAGGAGGAGCCAGAGAAGTCTGGGTCATGTGACAGTCATGTGACACTCACGAGACAGTGGGGAGTGAAGTGGAGACCGAGGGAGTGATAGTCACAGTCATAAAGGGACTCAGCCTCAAACAGCTCCCCGAGACCAGCCTACACATCACACAATACACTCAGTTATTTGCACAAACGTTTTTCATGGACCAATCATTTGTGAGACTTTTGACTCGTGCAACAAATTCGTGCTGTGCATTATGTTGGCCCTAAGTCACACGAAAGAAAAGTTTTTCTTATTTTTATGTAAACTGGTCTGCATCGCCAGAAGACACACACACACACGTAAGCAGAGTGTGTGTATATGTAGGAGGAGAAAGAGGAGTGAGTTACGGCTGTTCCACAGGGCAAGAGCTTCGTCCAGGGAGTGAAGTTTTCGGTGCACACCGTCTCCCGTGGCAACGCAGCATAACGCAGCAAAGCTGAGCTGTTGCTCATGTCTTTACCTACGTACACACACACACACACACACTCACACACACTCACACTCACACACACACACACACGCACGCACACGAAGAGTAAGAATGAGTAAAAACAAACAACTGCTTATCTACATTGTTGGTTTCAGAATGGGAGACGGGGAACCACACACTCCTTGAATATTCACCATTACCCGCAACATGTTGCCCACACCAGGATGTAAGGGACAACATGTTTTTGTCCTAAAGAAAGTTCAACATGTAAAGACATACTGAGGATGGCTCCATTTGGTCGAAAAGAGACGAGCGGCTGGAAGGAGGAGGCGGAGTCAATAGCATTGAGATGAGCTCCTAGGAGACCAGACATTGCGTCTACCAGACCTGGCCACTCCTTTTCGGAGCTGGGGAGAGAGGAGAGAGAGGGAGGGGATGAGGGGGTTGGGGAGGATTTCGATCTGTCTTACTCTGCTTCCGGCAGAAACCACGCCCACAGCTCCGCCCCGGGAGGAGCGGGGTGGGCGGGGTAGCCCCAGACCCTCGTCCGCCACTGGCCCTGGGTGAGCGTTAAATGGAGCTCCTGGACATGGTAGTGCGCTACCACCTCCGCGAGAGACTTGGGGAAAATTCCGTAGTGTTGTACTGTGGGTAGGTGAGGGGGATAGTAATGAGTTGGGTACAAAGCTAGGGCTCAGGTCATAGAACTATAAATAGGTTAATTTGTGTACTCTGCAATGCAGAACACTATTTCCTTTTCTATTTGATGCACTTCACCATCATCTGAAAACAACGTATCAGCTATAACTGAATATGCAGCCATTTCCTGTATATGCTAACTACAGGACGGTCCCTACCACTCATTAACGCCCACAAGCACTTACATCACCGTTATAGCTTCCCTTTTAGCAACCGCAGCAGCGAGGTATAGCGCAGTGCTTCGCGAAGATCGGGGAGTGGCGAGAGTCGACTGACTGCACGCAGTTGTCCGAGCGAAAGAGCTGTCTGAACATGAGCGAAAAGGAGGAGAGAGGCGACGTTTTCTTTCGTGGAGTACTGCTGTACAAACCCGGAGCTCTGGTGAGTCTACTCCAGCAGGCTGGCGGGCTTGGCACGTTCCTAGCACCTCAGATCAGCTACACAGTGCAAGATTTCTCTTTATCGCGCGAAAAAACGCTGCAGCGAGCTATATACCCATCAGGCTATGAATAGGCTTTAGCTAGCTCTAGCTCCAGGAGCCCATTGCCAAAAGCGACGGCACCAGTTATGAAGATATTCCATGGTCGCAGTCTGTCACTGAACAGCTTACGTATAAAGTGAGAAAGGATAGCCTTATAAAAGCAAGCATCAGTATACACATTCCTCCATTCCTTCTACAGGCCACGTGTCAGAAATGCAGGGCTGAGCTAAAGTTCGAGAGCAAGTCAGGATTCAAGAGACTCGAGCTGTACCATATCCACGGCAACAGGAGAATGCCAGGCTCTCCGTGGATGACTATTCCCCTCACTAATGCTCTCGGTGTCACCAGCGGGAAACAGCATACAATCACACGGGCCAAATACACGTTCATGGTAAGACAGTGTGGGAAAAAGAGAGGAATGTGAGAGAAGAGAGAGAGTTAATGTTCCTCTCTGAACAATGAGCTACTCTTGCAGAAAGTTCCGGCTCTGCCTTATACGAATAGTGCCACCACACACGCTACAATCAGCCATCTCCCATGTTCGGACTGTCACTATGAATACATGTCGACTCTCCCTCGTGCAGTGCAGAAGCTGGGGTTTCCCCTAATTTCCAATAGAAGAGTAGAATGGCGCTGTCATTTGGCCATGAAAAGCACCCGTTTGCTTATTACAAGGTCGCTACTCTGGCTGGTGTGTTTCATGGTTGTTAGTAGCATGTTCAAATCCCGGTGTCTTATGCAACGTTCTTGTTCTGCTGCCTGTAAAAATAAAGAGATGTAGTGATGTAAAGTTATCGTCGTGCAGGTAGTGACCCCCAGAGAACGGTACCAGTTGAGTACTCTGACAGAGGAAGAGAAGAGCCAATGGATGGTCCACTTGGACCGGATCCTCAACCGTTTCCCTGTCGACAACCGGACATGTAAGACAACAGGAAAAGAGAAATATTCGGGGATAAACAATTAGCTACTCCACCGGTATTCGAGAGAGTAGGCTCAGCCGTATTTTGAAAGCAAGTGCTACTCCCGTGACAGTACGGTAGTAGTGACAGTATGGTAGTATCGCGAGTAGCAACACAGTCCATGTGGGGCGAAATGAAGGTAAAAGTACAGAGGTTAGATAATTGACCAGCGTGGACGAAATAGCCTACTAGTCAGACGCAGCTGGTGGTGCATACGAGCTCAGGAGTCGTCCTAATGTATCGAGGGAGTGGTGACTGGACAGCTACAACTGAGGCCCTAGCCAGCACACACACAGACGAGAGAATGAGATTTAGCACTGCATGCTCATGCTCACTTAGAATACCACTACCACAACATTAACTGCAGTGTCATTCTAGACCAAACCACAACTGTTACACTCTCGCCAGGTACATACTTGGTATAATATACAGTCTTACTAATTCACTTGGGGCCTAGGAGCATCTTTACGCCCACAGTTGAGTGTGATACATAGCTACGGTTAGTAAAACATTTGACGTCTTCTGGGTGTTTTCCCCTCATCTTTCTCCCCCTCCCTCTCCCTCTCCCCTCTCTCCCATCCACCCAACAGTTGAGTTCAACGTCAACGTATCTCCCACCAACCACTCCGACAAGCTCCAGTTGACGGGGCAGTACATCCTCAAGGTCTCCGAGACTGAACTCCACCTCTACTCTGCCTCGGGCACCATCCACAGCAAGTTCTGGACACCTCTCGGGTGTGTCCGCAGCGCCACGTACTGCCTCCTCCCGGCCTCCAGCTGGCCGCCTCACAAACACCTACTCATCATCTATACTGAAGGGTACGTTTATATCTGTGTTATATTTTTGCCCAAATCCATGATATGCAGCTGTGGAGTTCTTCATGATCTGTGTATACATGCCGGGGGTTTTGGGGTTGTGACATAATTGGCTAGACCCTTGAATATAATATGGTAGCTAAATCTATGATGTAATTGTTAAGCACAATTCATCGCCAAGTTTGGTGTTTGCACCTGCAAATAAGAGTCCGGACTGCCTTTTTTATTTTTTATTTTATGGTCAATGGGTAATGTGACGTGACCCTGTGGGAGACCCCTGGATACATAGGCACAAACTTGAGCTCAGCATAGCATACGAAATGTTTCTGGGGAATTTAGAGCTGTGGCTCCCAATTTTCACTTCCGGGTTTCCACATCCATATCCCACAGTGACTGTAGGATGTCAGATATCCTACCCAAGGCATCCTTTTACTACAAGCTTCTTTACGTCTGCAAGCTAGGATTTAAACGCGTGGTTCCCAATTTCACCTCTGTGGGTTCTCCTAGCTCCAGTGTCCTATAGTTGGCGGCCACTGTTGACAGTTTGAGACTAGAACTGAGACCCCAACAGAACACAGGAAGGTATAGTATATAGGGCATTGCTCCCAATTTTCACCTCTGTGGGTTCTCCTAGCTCCAGTGTCCTATAGTTGGCGGCCACTGTTGACAGTTTGAGACTAGAACTGAGACCCCAACAGAACACAGGAAGGTATAGTATATAGGGCATTGCTCCCAATTTTCACCTCTGTGGGTTCTCCTAGCTCCAGTGTCCTATAGTTGGCGGCCACTGTTGTCAGTTTGAGACTAGAACTGAGACCCCAACAGAATACAGGAAGGTATAGTATATAGGGCATTGCTCCCAATTTTCACCTCTGTGGGTTCTCCTAGCTCCAGTGTCCTATAGTTGGCGGCCACTGTTGACAGTTTGAGACTAGAACTGAGACCACAACAGAACACAGGAAGGTATAGTAGGGCATTGCTCCCAATTTTCACCTCTGGGTGCCAGGGCAGTGGTGCCAGGGAAGGCTGGCCCGCCCCCACTCACTGCTGCGCAGGGCTGCCCAGTACAGTGTGACCAGGGTGATCTGAGCACGTCAGAATCCCCTGACAACAGCCCAGCTGACCTTAGGCATATTTGAATCCCCCCACTACTAAAACTGAACCCACTCAGGATGTAACCTCATATACATGTAGTAGTGTGTATGGATTAGTGGGGAACTTCAGCAGATGATTTCGCTCTCTCTTCACCTCTCCTTCCTCCCCCCCCCTCTGCCTGTTTGTAGGTCTTCACCAAACGGTGAGGGTGGATTTGCCTTTTTCACAGACAGTGCCAAAGACATAGCAGCCACCATCACACACCGGAAAGAGATGAGAATACAGGCACGATCGGCAGCCGCTCTGCCTCCTCCTCCTCCGATGGACGAAGAAGACGCTACAAAGTCCAGTCCTCGCCACCAGAGGCTCCAGAACATAATGTCAGATCCTGTGAGTCCGTCTGCTGAGATAGACCTCGATTTCACGCCAGGCTCAGCGCCGGAGAGAGAGGTGACACTGAGAGACAGGGGGGAGCAATCGTCGCTCCGCAAGTGTGCCCGGAGGAGTCGAGTGATCCCCGTTAGCCACCAGCTGGAGAAGGCAAAGTCGCAGCTGAAGCTACAACTAGGGGAGGGTGGAGCAGAGCAACAGAAGGAGAAGCCAGACACTCCATTGTTCACACCGGACGAGCCAACACACATCGCCACAGACAAGCTGGCCAACTACCAGGAGAGGTTCCGGGAGTGGAAGAGAGTGCGAGACCAAAAAGAGATGAGGAGCCGCACCTCACCAGGGGTGCTGTCACCTGACTCAGGCCCCCGGCAGAAACTGTGCAGCCCTGTAGACCGGCGCTCTACAATATCGACACCAACTTCCGACAGACCCACCTCCGACATGTCTAGCCTCGACGGTGGCTACGTCACCATCCATCCTCGGTCTCACGGCGAGGAGGAAGAGAGCGGGGAGAGTGAGACGAGCCTAGGCCGTCTCCAGGGGTTACAGAGACAGGGCAAGATCGACATCCACTCGCCACATGACGAACTCAAGGACACACCGCAGTTCATACAAACCAGACCAAGGACCAACGCAATCTCTTACGGCTCCCCTCCGCTATCGTCCTCCCCCGAACGGCACTTGTGGTCCCCAGATAGAGCCCTGACAAACAGAAGGAAGGGGGAGGAGTTTCAATGCGACGAGAACACGTGTTGGCTCAAGCCTCGCGCTCCTCCGCTGAGCGCCACCCAGCAGAAATCAGGCTCAGACCCTCAACTCAGCACACGAGTAGACGACGACCTTTTAGCCAGCGCAGAATACCTCAAGGTTCTACCTCCCAACCAACGCTCCAAGAAGACCCCAAAGAAACCGAAACCGACTCCGCGCACACGCAAACCTGCAAACCTTCCGCTACCGCAAAGAACCTCCGTATACACGATGACTCCGCCCACTCCGACCTTGGCAGGGGGGCAGGTCCGAAACTTACCGAGCCCCAACCGTTCTCTCAACAGAGGTCTCGACGTGAGGACCTTACTCTCCAGTCAACGCTCGCTCTCAGAATCAAACCTCTTTTCCAATTTGTCCAACGATTCTGAGGACGACTATGTGGATATGAGCCACTACCAGAAACAGTGGGAGCGGACGCAACTCTACGTCAACTACAACGAGCTTCATCCCGTCGTCCCCAGAGAGATGAGTCTACAGCGAAAAGCGATGCGGAGACAAGCAAGCAGCAGTTGTGGTAACCTCCCGGCAGCTGCGATGGTCGATGAACCTCAACCGCTCTACGAAAACGCCAAGTGCTGCACAGTCCTGTTTGGAGAGACGGAGGTTGCGTACGAGAATGGTAGACAAGTCATGGAGTACTTCATGTACGGACAGGCCGGTGGAGGTAATGACAGCGTTGATCCAGGGGCATCCTCGAAGAGCAGTCGTAGGAACGTGACTGGCCCTTGTAGCTACGGAGACAGTGGTCTGGGTAGCACGCCAAGCGGGTCTCCTCTTCTTACCAGCCAGCAACGCTCCTTCTCTCTCGACGACATGAGACAGGTTGCTGGTGCACAGTTGACTGATGAAGACCAGCTGGAAATGACCGGTATGTATGCCCCACTCTATCAGTATACTTTTAATTTGTCAGTATACCAACTGCACACTATCAGTATACTTTTAATGCGTTAGTAGTTTAGTCAGTATACCTATCAGTATACTATCGAATGCTTACCTATTACCAAATGTGGCATGTAGAAAATGCCAAAGCGTTTGATTTTTGCTAAATGCCCTGTCTCTTTTCTCTATTCCAGAGGAGCTCAAACCAGAGCGACCTCCGAAGCCGTGCAGATGGCAGTTCCCATGCTGTGTAAAGGTCATCAGGGGTCAGCTAGGCCACGTCACTCACCAGAACAGCTACGAGAACCTCCCACTTATCTTGTCATCATAAATAGACTGTCTTTATTGTGTGTTTTAGAGTAGCGTTTGATGTGAGATTTTTATCAGTTATGCACTTTATTTTTAAATGTTTGACAATGGAAATAACATGTTAGCTAAAATCATATCTTGCTGCACTATAATACCTACCAGCGTGACGTAAAAAATACGGACTCACCGTTTCCGGGGTTGGAGAAAAGGAGCGGATGGACGGACCAGACGGTGGAAAAGTCGAACGTAGCGCTCACTCGTCCGTCGGCCAGAAATTTCATGAAGAGAGCTTCACTGTAGCTCTGCTCCGCTCTCCCCTGACACATGCAGGGCAGCGTCAAGTGGAGGAAAACGGCCGTCAGCAGCTGTACCCAATCCCACCTCCTCGCGGCCATTTTTTAATGATTAGCGCGCGGGTTTTAATTAGAACGCATTGATCCACGTGGTTTCCGGATACTCTACAAGATGGCGCAATATACGGACCACCGAACACGAAAACACCTCAATTATGTATAATACACAAGAAGATGGGATAAATACAGTGAGATTGGGATGGAGATTATCTATCACTACTCTCAGATCCCTGAGGGCCACCAGAGCCTTTGAAATTGCCAGAGTCAGAGCTATCCCACTCCTCTGGCGGCTGATCTCTCATCTCCCAGACTGGTGTCTGTGTGTACATCGACAGCTGCTCCTCTTCAAAACTCTTCAACATGTCTTCCTGCATCACAGGACGGGTTGTCAGTCACATGACGATCATGTGTCACTCAAAACTCACCTACCCTCGCTTTATGGTCGTTGGACGTCTTCCACTTGATGCAGTTGGAGATCCGTGTCTTCTGCGTCTTGCACTTGGAGAACTCCCCGTGAATGTAGTACCGGTGGAACTGGTGATAGGCGGCTGCAGGACGCAATGCACATTTCAACCGATAGGCCTATTTCTTCCTTACAGATGCACTGTCTGTACTCGGCCATCATGTCTAGACATCTAAGTCCCTCCATTTGCTCTGCCGCAGCAAGCGACGCATTTCTTCTGATCCTCCTCGCCCCAGTCGGGTCCGCCACCCCGTCTCCTTGCTGCGTCGCCGAAGCCATTTTCTGATCTGCTTCCCAAATAACGCGCACGTCAGTTCTATTTATCGCCCACTGACACAACAACGGAGCGGGAAGATTCGAAATGGTGAGGAGTCTTTTTTGTAGGGAATTCAGTTTTACATGTATTTCACCAGCCCAAGGTAACTCCAGGAAAAGAAGCAGGTGTTAAAAGGGGGAGGGGGAAGTCTTCTTCCACCACAAAAGGAACCCCTAGTCTACAGACTAGTGGTAGAAGAAGAGGTAGAGGAGGAGGAGGTGAGGCCAATGATGGTGGTTCTAGTCATCAGTCACAAGAGAGGAAGAGAAAGAAGAGAGGGAGGGAAGAGACGGAGAGAACTGTTGGGAATAGGGAAAAGAGGAGGCGCGAAGTGAGAGGAGTGGTTGACTCTGAAGAGGTGGAAGAGAGGGGGAGAAATGGGGAGAGAAAAGGGAGGATGGGGAGAGGAGGTGTGGAGCAGAGGGAGAGGAGTGGGAGAGGGGAAAGTGTGGAGAAGAAGGGGAGAGGGAGAGCTAAAGAAGTGAGAGTGTCAGACGCAACCACTGCCAAGTGGACACCAGTATCTCGTGCAGCCAGGGAGCTCCTCAGTAACACAATGATCTCTGCTCTGGGGTGAGCTTAACCAGTACATGTACATCTAGATAATTATGTGTGCAAGAGACAATAGTGAGGCAAGCAGGCAAACAATGGCATCTAGTACAACAGCCAAATACTGACTTACTGTTGCTATCATTGTCTGTGTGTAGGCAGTGTATGGAGGAAGTGAGGGGACCAAAGAAAAGACTTGCTGAGACTGCCATCCAGCAAGTTATACAGAGGTGGTGAACGTTTTACTTGCCCCACTGCATCCTTTGAAGAAACCATGCATGAACATTTTCTGTGAGATCCGATTTGACAAGCAACTCTCCCTCAAGATGATGTGAGGTGTCTGTCTCCGCACACATTGCTATATGACATTAGGGTGGAGTGTGAGGTGGGGGCCGTGAAGGCTCCGCCCAGCAAGAGGATAAAGCAAGGTTCTGCCCTCAGACAGAGACTGGTATGATTGGCAGTAAAATAGCTACACACAGTGTTCCTCTTTCACCAAATCTTGCTGTCCCTCTCATGCCATCTCATTACATAACGTACACAGACTGAGCTGAAGGAGCAGTGTTTTGACCTGATGAGTCGAAACGAAGAGATGGAGCGAACAGCTGAAGAGAGAAAATTGTAAGACAACCGCACACTCCCACTATTAGCCATCCGGTAAACTTTTTATATACTACTAAATTATTACACAGGTTCTGTAAGGAGAAGAGTAAAGTAGTGGAGCAATTTGAGGATGATGCACAGGGGCTACCTCCTGCACACCCTCCACCTCCTGACATGGTAAGGATAGCCCCAACCATCCTCATTTTGATGAGTAACACTTCTCCTACAGTCAGATTTAGACCAGGAGACATTCAGGGCACACTTTCAAGAACTTTTGTTACACACTCCGGAAACTGTTAGAACAAATGCTCTCTCCCTCTGACACTTTTCACCTTCACCCAGTGTCATTCTATTCAACATTTTAACACTGAAAATAGTTGAACACTGCACATTATGTGGTCTTTCTCAATTGTCTGACGTGTCCTAGAGGTTGTCCATACAACACACTGTCGCCTGGACCCACACAGAACTCAAACTCCTCGGGGGCTTGGAACACCAGAACAATGGTGGAGCCCATCTTGAATGTCCCCAACTTTTGCCCTTTGCCCAACCTCATCCCTGCCTCTCCTCCCCCCACTCCGCCTCTCCTCGGCAGAGACTGGTCCGAGAACTGACCCATCACGTATTTGCCTCTCTGGTTCGTCCTCAGCTCCTGCATAGGGTGTGGGTGTAGAGTGAGTCTGCAGGTCCTCACTCACACACTTCAGTGAAAAAAATGTACACATAGCTACAAAACCCCCAAAATAACCAAGTGAATATGGAAAATTTCGACTACTGTATGTTACTTTCTCTTAGGCTTCGAGATTTGTGTATCGTCTATTTTACATACCTCATCAATGGTGAGACTGATGCTGCCCACTATAGTAGCTCCGACAGCCGCAAACGAGAAGAAGCCATACTCCCACTGCCCGAGGAGTAAGACCCTCTCGTTAAGATTGAAGAGGCCGGGCATTGTCTTGACTGCCCACGGAGCTACTGTTATGAGCTCTCCTGTAAAGGTATGTACAGAGAATATAATTATATCACAACAACTCCAATGCTGCCAGCAACATGTCCTGAACAATTAAGGTGTTACTATATACCAACTCTATTGGGCCTATCATTTTTAGCCCATTCACCAAACTTCCTACTCCTACTGATAACCAAGTCCCTACTACAGATAAAGGCAGCCTATATACCAACCAAGTTCTACATTACCTGCCATGACAAAAGATTATCGAGCACCTTATAATTATACCAGGAAAGTGTCTGCGTGTGTGTGCTCTCCAGTTGGCAGGAGAATGGAAACCGTGGTAGTCTCCAGGAGACAGATAGATGGTCATGTAGTGCAGTTCTCTCCCTCCACCTCCTCCTCCTCTCTCTTTCCTGTCCACCACCTCACACTGTCCCCCAGCATCTGCTGTCCCCTCATTGTTGTTGTAGGACTCGGCCTGTTGGCCAAGGAACTGGTGGAGAATGTAGCTAACTCCCTTGATTTGCTCCAGTCGACCCTCTTGATCCACTGTCCCCATATGAAGAACCCTCCCATCTGCAGGACACACCTGAAGTTTAACACAACAGAGGAGACAGTATATAGAGGGAAATATCAAGAAAACCTTTCAGATAAAAGACACCTCTCTAGTCTATGGAGTAAGTTATGTTATCTTCAAAGAGAAACTGCAAATTAATGTCATAGACTCAAAGGCTGGTAGACAAACTGATAAGGACAAAGAGTTTAGGTGCAAACACACCCACGGGCTCTCCATGGAGACTAGTACATACCAGGCTGTGTTCCCTGCTGATTGGTCTGACATCAGGTTTCAGAGATCGCGTAAAGAGAGCACTAAGACTCCTGTACTTTGTCACCTCCTCCTCTACGGCCTCCGACATGTCGCAGCCACACACCCTGACGTAGAGTCCCAGGAGAGGACCTCTCAGCCACAGAGGGAGCTCTCTCTCTGAGAGGCTGCCAGCTCGCCGAGAGAAGAGACGAGCTGGCAGGAGTCGAAACATCGCCAGCTGAGAAGACAGAGAAGAGAGAGAGAAAACATTGCTGCAGGGGTCACGTGAAATGCACACAGAAAAGGTTCAGGCACGGTTCATCTTGTTGAATAAGTGGTAACCAATTGTACAAATGAAGTTTTTGACAAATGGCTCTGGAATAAAGGCTCACTATGCAGTAACTGTGAGGACAGGGAAAGGAGACAATAATTATCACACCTGCCACGATGAAGTCTCCCCTTCCTCGGCTCCTGCTCTGCCCCTCCTCTCCCGGCGTAACGTCCTCTGCAGTTGAAGAGCTGCAAGACACACCAGACCCAGCCCCACTGGGATACCAAACCATCTCATCCCTCTGACTCCTCCTCTGGGCCCCTCCCCTCTCCTTGCATACCCTCTGGAAGAGAGCAAAGCAATGGCTTTGGAGGTAAATTGTTGCAGGGCACACCTGGTGTAGCAGAGACCGTACGAACTGACGTTCAATATCCTTCGTCTTGCACTTGGCCACATGTCATGTCCTAATGGTACGCATAATACGCATGCGCATAAAACGATATGACGTCATTAACATTCCGATCGGGCATATGCAGGGCGGCGGTATAAAAGCAGAGATAATTATCTGTGCCCGGCTTCTTTTCTTCCAACCTCTTCTCGCAGCCGCGCCCTGCCTGTCTCCCCCCTCGCGCTCCCGGAGACGCCATCACTTCTCGTCTCCTATGATATAGCTACCTACCGTCCAGCCATCAATAATGTTACACGAAGCGCTAATAATAACGTCCCTGTCTTCTGTACCGTTACTGCTCTATAGACTAGTCTTTGGCTGGGTTAGGAACAAGACGAGGATTTTCTCCGCCAATAACGACGCCCTGCCGGTAGAGCCGCCACTGGCGCATCGCCCGGCCGCGGCCGCTGTTCGGTCTTGCGGCAAGTGGCTCTCGGCCTGTCTAGTTCTCCATCTTCTCGTCCTTCTGGCGCTGGTGCGGGGGATCAGCAGCGGCGGTGGGATATTCGCACATGAGCTCGACAAGTGGCAGGTTAGTGCCGTGTGTGTGTGACGCAACGTTCAACACCCCGGGTTGTTGCACTCCATTTAGAAGAGAACTCACTGCGCAAAAGCGCAAGGCGGAGGGCATTCTCCGAAACTTACGCGCAAGATAGCTAGCTACTGCTGCTGTGCTTATCTCGGCTCTCAGTGCGGTGTGCGGTCCGCGTTCAACGGCAGTGCAGTGTGCAGACGTAGTAAACTGTAGGAAAGGTGACCGTTTGCAATATCCTGTAATGCATAATTGCTCTCGGTGGATGTAGCGGAACATCGTGTGAATTTACTAGTTACGTAACCCCTTCTCCCCCTCCTCTAGCTGGCATTAATGAAGAAGATTCCTGCCAGAGCCCTGACAAGAGTGTGGGGACGGATTTCCCTCATTCGACTGGCACCACTGACCAGGAGACCTGTCCTAGGTTTCTTCTGCTTCATCTTTGGCATCAAACTCAAGGACGTGAAACAGCAGGAGTTGGGGGAATATTCCTCTCTGCACGATTTCTTCACCAGAGTCATGAGAGAGGAGACGAGACCAATATGTCCTGATCACTCACTGGTAAGGAAAATTTTCTCAGTTTTGTTTGCGTTTATCAAAAAAACATATACACACACATTTGTTTCCAAAAAAGCGAAATTCTCAACTCTCTCTCTCTCTCTGAATGTGACTGCAGGTCTCGCCAGCTGATGGGATGGTGATTCACGTGGGTAAGGTAGAGAACGGAGAGGTGAAGCAGGTGAAGGGAGTCAACTACAAACTGTTAGATTTCCTTGGAGACGAACCGCTACAAGAAAACATTGGATCTGGCTACTCGTCGGACGAAGAAGAGTGCTACGATTGGTCAAACGGATTTGGACTTCCCCGAAATGATTCCGTGACGAGTCTCTTCCAGCAGTTTCCTCACGTGAAGCCGGCCAGAGGCAACGAACTATACCACGCAGTCGTGTACCTCGGAGTGTCAGACTACCACCACTTTCACTCGCCGGCAGACTGGAATGTCCAGATGAGAAGACACACTGTTGGTGAGTGTGCCTGCCATGGGGGATGACATTACTAGTAGACCCTCTCTGACTAACTACACACATACTGAATATGATAATGTATTATTCACCGGCTCCATAGACCACAGTACATGTAGTGGTGCCTCCAAGCTTACCAATTCCCCCAGCAGTTCCACAGACAAAATATAATTTTGAGGCTGGAAATTTGGAACATTGGGATCTTTAAGCAGTAATCTTTTCTGATATAATATTGCAGGAGAGTTGCTCTCAGTAGCTCCGTGGGTGGTGAGGCAGGTGCCCAACCTATTCTGTCTTAGCGAGAGGGTATTACTCGGCGGCTACTGGGAACATGGATTCTTCTCACTCGCTGCCGTGGGAGCTTACAACGTCGGCAGTATTGAAATTGACATTGATGAGGTAATGATTGTTCAGGGCCAAAAGTGCATGAAGTCGTGAATGGGTTTAAGATTTCACGAGTTTGTGGGTGTGTGATTCCCAATTGAATTCCTCTTCCTTACTTTCTTCCCGGCTGGCAATATAGAGTTCTGTATGCTGCCTAAACAGTGATTGTTCTCTGCAGGAGCTGGTTACTAACTCTGTTAGAGACGAGGACGAGAGGGGAGAGGCCTACCAGGGAGAGCTCTGTGACAGAGTGTTTGGAACAGAGGGAGTCGCAATGAGAAAGGGAGACCACGTCGGACTGTTTCATCTTGGGTCTACCGTCGTTCTCGTATTCGAGGCTCCCAAGTCCTTTGAGTTTTCCGTCAGTGTGGGAGACAGAGTGAAGTATGGCCAGCCTCTGGGGACAGCAGCCACCAAGATGCACTCAGTAGAACTGTATAGTGAATAGCTATAATTATATTGCGCCTTTGTAATCACTTATCATTCAGAATCTACCCATTATATCATGTGATCAGCTGATGTGCCATATATACTCAGGCCACTTTCTCCAGCGGAAAGGAAAGAAAAAAAACGGATGTAGGTGCAGTCTTCCCTGGGGATGTATATACAGGTGGCGCAGTTGGTTCAGCTTCATTACATCTATGATGCATCATACATAACATACTACAACTATAGTACAACAGGACGCCTCATGCAGTCTGTTCATCTAAACTGTGAGAAGAGGGAGTAATTATGGTGGGGGCTGTGCCCTAGTACTGATGGTCTTTCACAAACAGACTCTTGGCTGCAGCTCCTGCACTCTCCTCTCCCTCGTACTTCCCGAGAGCTGCCAGCCCGTTGCAGCGAGCACGGTGGATGAAAACTTCCTGAGCTGCCTTCACATTCTCCGGCTTTCCCCGCCAGGCTTGCAGGACGCTCGCCTGGAGAGCTCGACCGTAGGAAAAGGTGAGCCCCCACGGCTTCACGGCCTCGTACTTGTTGATGGCGTTGAGGTGGGTGGTGGCCACTATCTCGGATTGTCCGCCAGAGAGGAAGGTGACGCCAGGCACGGCAACGGGGAGGTGGCGTTGGAAAGTGGTGATTGTAGCGAGGGCCACGTCCTCGGGTGTGAATTTCTTGGTGCAGTCCACTCCTGGGAGCACCATGTTGGGTTTGAGCAGTGTCCCCTCGAGGAACACGTGGTGGTCACTCAGGGCTTTGTAGACGGCGGCCAGCGTGCGCTCGGAGGCCTCGATGCAGGCCTGCAGATCGTGGTCTCCATCTGTAAGGATCTCTGGCTCCACGATGGGGCAAAGACCGTTCATCTGGCAGATGCTGGCGTAGCGAGCCAGGACGTTGGCGTTCTCGTTGACGGCCAGCTCCGTGGGGCGTCCGCCGCCGATCTTGAGGACGCACCGCCACTTGGCAAAGCGGGCCCCTCCCTCGTAGTACTCCTTGCAGCGCTCGGCCAGCCCGTCCAGACCCTGCGTCGTCGTCTCGTCGTCGGTACCGAGGAGTTTCACCACTCCCTTGTCCACCTTGATGCCCGGAACGATCCCCCGCTCCTGCAGCACTTTCACGAACGGCGTCCCGTTGTCGGCTTTCTGGAAGAACGTCTCGTGGAAGAGAATGACGCCGCTGATGTACTTGGGCATCTCCTCCTTGTCGCTAGTGAAGAGGAGCTGGCGGTAGAGGCGCCTGTTCTCCTCCACGTTCTCCACCCCGATGGTGCTGAACCTCTTCCCGATGGTGCCAGTGCTCTCGTCCGCGGCCAGGATCCCTTTCCCCGGGGCCACGATGGCCTTGGCTGTTGCCGCCAGCTCCTTCTTCTGCGCTTCCGTCAGGTAAGACATCTTTCTTCTTTGCAAAAACAGCTGAGAGAGACCAACGACCCTGAAAGCGTGCGTTCGTACGTACTTTGCCCCGGAAACAAACCGACGCGACGCGACGCACGCGCACACGCTCCACTCTCATTGCGCATGCGCCAGTGAACTTCGACCTTTTCTCCGAGCGGCGCGCGCTAAATGGGCCGCGCAGAGGGGGTTCAATGGCCAAGCAGAAGCTCACGCCTGGGAAGCTTTCTCTGTATAAACAAGCCACTCCTATGGAAAGGTATGCATGAACCCTAATGCATGACTCATGTTCTGCTCATTTTACAGGGGTAGTTTGACCCAGGGAAGGCTAGCAGTGTCTCTCAGCAGTCATAATGATAGGGGTTCACCCTCATCATCGCACACCCTCCCAGCTCAAGCCACACCCATTGCCACGTCAGCAAGTACCACTGTAAGCAGCAGTCTCATCTCTAGCTTAATGCCATTTGCTTGCACAACACACTCAACATGCTGTCCTCTCATGAAAACAATTTTTGTTGTCCCATTATGTTTACTACGACCTACTCATGTTTTACATAGTCCCCTGTTCACAGCACCATGTAATGTTCCTGTACTATTGGAATGTTGCTAACTCTGCAGGAAATGCGGTCAAGCCATCAGCTACCTCGAGGTCCAGGTAGTTAGACACACCTCTCCTCTCACTCCTAGTCAACTGCCTGACACTACTGCTAGTCTGCTGGCCCCCACCGTGACTTCCAGCACTCAGCTGCCTGTCAGGGCTGCTAGGAGCGGAAAGTTTAGCTCTGACTTTGTCCAGTTTGGAGCTCTTTCTTCGTTACGTGAGGAAGACAGAGGAGGAGAGGGAGGAATAGTGGGAGAGAGGAGAGGGGAAGAAGGAGGGAGAGAGGAAGAAGAGGAGGGTGAGAGAAGGACAGAGGACACATCTTCAAGCCAGCACCCCATGCTCCCAGACACCAGCAGTCAATGTATGTGTTGTATATATAGCGGTGGAGAACATGTTGTTTTGAATGTTGTTTTTATATCTCAGCATCAACTCAACCTGTACCTGGAGCCCCAGTCACAGCAACTGCAGATAACAGGTGACCTTTGCAACTCCACACGGCACCCTAAGATTCTAGAAGGTTCCTCATGTGACTGGTTGCCTTGGGTACATTTTCCTCTAAAGGCACCAGCAACTTCCCATCTTCCCACCCCATGGTGTTCTAGGAATGCACTCTGTGGATATGCTGGGGAAGTGTACAATGGGTGTGTGTGAGTGATGTGGCATCCTGTTTTGAGCAATTTCACCTCAAAAGTTAACCTTATCATAATCTAGCCCTTGCTACACAGACCTCTGATACTGACACCGTTGGAAAAGTGTCCATATCATAGAGCTGTCTTTATTTCAGGTGTATAATTGCAGAAAATTTGCCGTCATTAGAGATGTCTAATGTTCAGTTGTTTCCACTGTATTGTAATGATAACCTTACTTTTTCTTGTTTCTCTCTCTCTCACTGCAGCTCTGAGACTCAAAAAAAGAAACCTCGTAAACCGAAAGGAAAAGTGGTGCCCTCTCGGTACCTCTCTTCCACAAAGAGCACGCCCTCTGTCTCCAACAAGACCCTCTCTACCTCCACAGCGACCGCGACCATACACAGGACGCAACAGCTCTCAAAGAAGACTAGTAGGGTAAGGCATCAACTTCCTGTTAGTGCCTCGTGTCATGTGCTGTGTTTGGGGTAGTCTGCACAGAGGGCAGGGAGGAAGGATAGCTCAAAGGTCTCTTCTCGTGTCAGCTCAAGTAGTGTCGCTCCCTCCTCCTCTCTCTCCACCACCCTACCTCGGCATCTCTTCACACCATCTGGTACCTCACCAACACACACAACATAATGTATGGGAGGATGGTTAAAAGGTAGAGTAAGGAGAGCAGGGGGGTGACGAGATTAAAGGGGTGGGGTGGGGGGCTTGGTTTAATCTGCTGAATTTCTGTTTTAATGTAGAAAGCATTTATGAATTTCTCGTGCAAATGTACAAATGGGTCCCTACCCCACAAAATCTTGCTTGAGAAACTCAAAACTCTAAATATCAGTTTTCTCCCCTCAAAACTTTCCTCTCCCCCCGGACACACAGGTTTGACATCGTCCACACCAAAGGTTGGCTCTCAGCTGTTGGCCCAGAGTGTCCCCACCACTGCTCTCCAGGGAAGTTTCACTGACGCCAGTACTACAGCACCAGTCAGCAACACTTACACCGCCACAAGACCTTCTACACTCTCCAGACACAGGGTCCGTTTGTGGACGATCGTTGAGTTTTGTGCAAACCCACATCATGTAAACTTTAGTAGCAACCCAATATCTCCAAAGTGAACATCACAAAATTTACTCATTTACCTTAAATACGAATGTAACCGCTTTACATCTCTCTAGACAAAAACTCCTGCGGCAAGTGGTAGCATTGGTGGTCATCCAAATGCAGAGTCAGAAGTTGAACTACTCTATTGCCGTCTACTACAAGCCTCCTACCTTGATGTGAAGGTGAGTGCACAGTTGTGGGTTAGGCAGCCTCTGGGCAGAGTACTCTATGTTCTGTTTCTTTCCCCTTCTTTTCGACGCAGAGTGCAAAGGCTTTGAGGGTGCAAGAAGAAGCAGCAAAAGTAGGGAGATGAACATTGTGGGTGTGTGTGTTTCTGAGCTGGTTTGTTTGGGATTCTAAAGAGAGAGTTATTTCCCATGGCAGACCCAGTTGCACACTCTGTGGAGAGAGGTGGAGGAGAGGAGGAAGGAGTGCCAGAGACTGAGAGGAGAGCTGGAGACTGTCAGGAGGAACACTGTCCTCTCCTCCGTCCTGGACGTACAGGTAATATGCACAGAGAACCCCATCATCATTGTGTATCATGTGACATTACTTGTACGACTGGGCAAACCTCCCTCCCTGTCTATTCATCTTACAATCATGTGCTTCTCAGACTGCCACATGTCTCTATAAGATGTTTCACATTATACTGCAACGATTGAATTTGATGACTCTATTTAACTTTCAGTTTTAAGAGCTAATAGCCAATATTATTAATAATGTGGTCCACAGGCAAAGGAGTTGGCTCCTGTGATTAGTAGTCTGCCCAGACTCCAGCAGCAGCACTCGGCTCTGGCTGTATCTCTGGACGCCACTCGTCACGAACTCCCAACCTCCGGTCTCATCCCTGCCACTGAACGTACGTCCTCTCTTCCTCGAAAAATCAGCATCTTTCGTGATACTTGGTTCTCTCCCACCAGATCAACTGGAGACAGAACTGTCTCAGTCGGAGGAGCTGCTCTCCGATATTGTCACACTCATCAGCAACAAACTACCCTCTGTAAGTCACCATTAAGAGAGAGAAATTTCACCTGTCCAGCTTGGCCAAGTTGGTCTCAGTCTCAACCGCAGACAGCCTTTCTATAGCCTATATATACTGCAGGTGGTGTGTTTTGCTGACTCAACTGCTGCAGTGGTGCACACACTGGACCGAGAGTTTACAGAGCTGGAGAAGTATGTCAATATAACTCACAGTTACAGAACACCCTAAAATAACTCTGATGTCCTCCTTTTGCCGGCCCACGATTCTGCATTAGCTAGAATAGTCTTATCTGGAACCTCCAGAGAGAACAACCAATAGGAGGTTAACTAGCGCACTAGGGTATTATTAGCACAGGACTGTTTCAAAATTATAGAGAGGTGTCTTTTTTCATTGTTAAGTGGCAGTGTTTTGTGACGTGTGTTTCAGATGCTGGAAGGAGCTCTCTGCGGCCGTCAGACTCCAAGTCAAAGAAACAAGTCTTGAATTTGAAAAGAAACAAAGAGACAGAACTTTGCATTTCTCGGAAGCCAGTATATAGTCCCTCGTGGCAGTGAAACCTAGTGCCACGTAGCAATGTTTATTGTCTGCAAATGATTGTTGGTTGGCTCGCGGCATGCATTGATAGAATTACAAAAATGATGATGAAATGCCCCTGTCACTTACATTTGTAAAGAATGCCGTGGCGTGCCAAGATGGGTGTGACCTGCCTCAACACATGGTTCACAACGGCCTTGTTTGCATCCGAGAAGGGGTTGAAGTTCAAGTGTTTCGTTCTCTTGAAGTTGCCATGGTTACCGCTGTTAACAGCACAGTCCAAGGTCTGGTTGTCGTGGGAGACCTCCAGGAATTCTAGAACTTTCCTCAGCTCCTGTCTCGTGTTATTCACCAGTTTCTCGTATTGTACCACGTGGACGGGAAAGTGGGCGTGGCTGAGCCATGTGTGAAGAAGATAGCCCCAACTGTTGCTCTTTGTCTCCACATACCAGTCCCAGTTGGAATTACCTGCAAACACCAGCACAAAATAGCACAGTATTTGCAGAATGATGGGAGATTATCAAATGCATCAGCTATGCTATACCCTTTACTGCTGGTGCTTCTTTGTTCTCTTTCTTCAAGCATACATAGCATAACCTAACATGAAAACTGTTGAGCATCTATAATAATAGTTAAGCAGCAAATTAATGGTGCAGTTTCATTCGGTTACCAATGAATGTCTTTTCATTGGCCAGTCCGACGTGGCTGTCAACGTTCTTTCTGGAGTTCCATCTCCGGTTGGCCTCACTCACCAGAGCATCAAATGGATTCCTGACTAGAACAACAGCTCTATCAAACATCTTGACCCCTGTACCCTCCTGGATGTCTTCAGGCAACTCCCTAGTGTCGCAGCGGTGTGTCTTAACCACCAGTACATTTCCACTCACTAGACATGGGAAAAACCGGGTTTTAGAAAACAGTTTCTACATCGACCAAATGAGTAATAACTGCAACGTTTCTGGTCTCACTATATAGCATAAAGTTATCCTCTTTTACTCCTTTTACTGAGTGTTTATATAATGCAATGTGTTTGTTATTTTCAGTGAGAGACATACCAATGTGCTCCCCTGGGAAGTGTGTCTTGAGAGAATGGTCGCAGTATATGGAGCCAGTGAAGACACCCGCTGCTTGCTCCAAGAGAAGCCGGAGCCAGGTGTTCCCCGACCCAGGTGAGCTGGCCAGTGCCACCAGGGGAGAGCTTCGATCGAGAAACCTCCTCTTTTTGCATTTGATAGATCCAGTGGTCTTCTCTGCTGACAGGCCAGATCTGGCGGAGGGGGCACACAGGTAGTATCGGTTGAGAGCTCTGTGGTCGAGGGAGGAGAGCCCATCGTGTCTGGAGAAATCTATCTTCTCCTTGAGCTGAGAGAGAGGAATAAGGTTCTCCACGGCCGTCTCCTGACTCACGAACTTGTCCACCGCATCGCTAGCGCTGCTCGCGTCACTGGACTTGGAACAGTTGCAGAGGAGGCTGGGTTTGGGGGTGGTAGGAAGGTGATACGTGACCTGGACCGCTCCAAGGGAGCCTCTGGTTGACAAATCCAGCAGTGGGATGGAGCCGTCTCGACAGTAACCGACTAAACTTATGCAAAACGAGGCCCCAAGGATCACAGCAAGCAGAAGACGCCGTACACTCGCCATTTACCACCCACTCCTCCCCGTCGCCTGCAACGATCCTCGCGCGGGAGGGGCTGAGACCGCGCCTGCGCACGAAGCGTTTTATCTCTCTAGCTAGCTCTCTAAATTGCATCATTTCGCTAGTTTGCTCAACTCTTTGCTAATCTGCGTGGCCTGTGCGCGCGCCTGCGCACCAATCTCTCCGAGTTTGTTGGGAGTGTTCCCTTTGCTCCCTCCACTCGAGTCAGCCGCCGTGCTAACGTCCCACTTGCTCTTGCGAGCCTTCTTTGCCCCTTCTCCCCCACTACCACCTCCACTACTGCCTCCAGGTCTCTTTGTCCCCTTCACAAACTCTATCTTTGTCCGCTCCTGCAACTTTGCCTTCTCCTTCTTTTCGTATGCCTTCTTCTGTGCCTCCAGCAGGTTCTTGTAGTTAGACTCTTCACCCCATGATTTTGGGTCGTAAAGATGCTCAGGGAAGTTTGTTCCAAACTCGTCCAAGTCAAGTACAGCCACTAGTTTCTCGTATATGCTGGGGTTCCGGAAGTCCTTGCGACCCTGGAGGTGTTTGTTCAGGTCCAGCCCCAGCCGCTGCTCCTTCTGTAGGAGCGCCACCACTTTGTCTTGCAGCGCCTTCGAGCAGCGGCCTGGGGGTTCTGGAGGGAGGTGCGCATTATTTAGAGGCAAGAAGAGAGGCGGTTGGGAAGACGTGGAATCGAACTCGGTGTCAGACTTCGTGGCCTCGTCCATTACATCTGGCGCCAGCAACAGAGGCGAGGTAGAGATTCTGCCGTCTTCCACGTCTTCTTCTCGTTCTGTGGGCGCCGCAAACACGCTGTCGTCGACTCGACTCTCGTTCATATCGTCCTCCTCCATGTAGTCAACGAGGAGTGGTGCCGACTGGACCACGGGAGGGACGAACGCGGGTGGCGTCGTGGAGACGAGTCGCCCGGCGGCCGATGCCGAGCGTGAGGGAGGGATGCCGAGCCCCTGGACGACCACGGCCGGCGGAGTCCGTCCCGTGGACTCATGTTCCAGCTCCTCGTCGTCAGAGATCTCCGAGTCTCCCGTGTAGCTCACTAGCCCCAGACGCCCAGACATCTCCACACTACAACAGAGTTCAGTTGGCTAGAAGATCAGAGCGAGACGTCCGATCGGTGGCTGGTCGGCGCGCGAAAAAAAAACGTTTCAATATTAATTTTACGTCGTCGGTCGGTTTATAGGTCTTGACCACGTGGGAGTGGGTTTAGCTTGGTCGGTGGCTTGCTGATTCATATCTCCCTGTTCCTCTATCATATCCTGCTGCAGCGGGGGTTGCAGCGCTACCGGTAGCTGCTCTCCACTCGTCTCTCATGAAAGCGCCTCGTGACTGCTAGCACGGCATCCACGTGCGGCAGTCAATCAAAACTGGGGAAGACGTCAAAATGGCGTCGAGTAGGACCCGGTGCCTATCGGTGGACGAGGTGGGGTTCTTCGAGGGAGCCGAGAAACTGCTGGAGGTCTGGTTCTTGCTGAGTCCGGAGCCTCGCCAGCCGCTCGGGGACTCCAGCAAGATGGGCCTGAGAATTATACCTAGGTGAGAAGACGGAGTACTTTCTGCTGTAGATTTGAGCCTCTACATGCTGCCGAGCTGCCCTGGTAGGTAGCGCAGTTGGTAGAGCGTTCCGACTGGACTACAGTGTTGTAAATCCAAAAAAATTCCCTTGGTGTAAAAATAGTTGACCGTTGCCTTAACCTTGTTGTTGGTGCTCTGCTGTACGTAGGCTGGAGCTGGAGGATCTGCTGAGTCTTGTCCACTGCAAGATACTCAGCCACTGCTGCAGCGAATCCATGGACGCCTACCTTCTCAGGTGACCCATCAAAATTTTGTGTGACTTCCCCGATAAATTTGTGACTCCTTCCTCAATTTTTTTGCCCCAGTGAGAGCAGTCTGTATGTGTCGGCAAACAGGTTCATTCTGAAGACGTGTGGTACTACGTCCCTGTTCCATGCCATCGAGCCTCTGATCTCACTCGTCAAGTCTTATTACCCACAGGCAAAAGTAGTGGTACGTCTGTCGTTTTGTTAAGGGTTTGGATTTCCCGTTGTCTCTCCAGGACTTGTTTTACTCCCATTTAAGTTTCCTGAAGCCACACCTACAGCCACACCCACATCACAGCCCAAACGAAGAGGTAGGCGGAGTCAGTCTGAGGGTGGGTGGGGTCTGGGTACTAGACGACACACCCCCCCCTCTTACTCTGAAACTACCCGTGACTTCATCTCTTTGCGTGTAGTTCAAGAGAGGGGGTAAATTAGTGGGCGTGGTCCTAATAGGCTGCTGGTATGTGATACCATGTGGTACCAACAGTTGAGCTCTGACCATACATTACCACTAATGTACCATAAGTGGATGAAAGTGCTAACAAATCAACTAAAGTTGCGCCTATAATATAATATAACAATTATTCCTCGACATTCCACTCACTTCCTCTTTCTTTCTCCGACAGACTGCATACCTGGACCAGATATTTCCAAGTAAGGCATGTGAAATATCGCACAGCACACACTCCACTATAACAACGAAACTGAAATTAGCACACCAGAATGCACAGTTGTCTGATTATGGCAATGTGTGTGAATGTGGTGTTAGGAAAAGGCTCTGTACTGTAGTCCGCTGTCTCCCCCCACCACAGATGGAGCTGCCTATATCCTTGGAAAGCTGAACGGGGACTCATGGTAGGTATCACCCAGTCCACCCCAAGCTCTCCTCTATATACCCACATGTTTCCAGGTATCTCTATACTCTGGACAACCTGGAGCACCCTCACCAGGTTCCCGACCAGACACTGGAGGTCTGCTGCACCTGAGCTATAAGAATAGCAATAGTCTCTACTTCTCTCCTATTCACCTTATCATTCTGACCGTTCATTTCTCCCATTCTCCCTCAGTCTTCACTTCTTCCTCCCTCCCTCGTGCACCTCTCAGCCATCCTCTCCCACGAATGTAATTCCCCCTCCCCCACACCTCCCAGATATTGATGCTGGATTTGGACCCCCACATCTTGTCCCAATTCTCCAGCAGTGTCTACAGCTCAGCCAGGGAGCTCACCACTGCAATGGGTCTGCAAGACCTCATCCCTGGCGCAATACTCGACGACAAGATCTTTGAACCTTGTGGATACTCCCTCAATGCCATCGTGAAGGCAAGCCAGCAGTCCTTCCTAACACTTGTACATGCTACCTCATGTATACACTCTCTGTCTTTCGTAACAGTGAGAATGGACACCTGTGGTGAGCATTCCATTGTGTATGGCTATATAGGTGCTAACAGTGCCAAATTGTGCAGTTTTGAAGAACAAGTGTGTCTAATGCTCAGTATGCCCCCTCTCCCCCCCTTCACAGGGAGACACCTATTTCACAGTCCACGTGACTCCACAGCAAGAGTGCTCCTTTGTCAGCTTCGAGACCAACCTCGAGCAGGCCAGCTACGACCATCTCATCGCCATGGTGATGCAGCTGTTCCGCCCCGGTCGCTGCACCCTCTCCCTCTTTGCCAGCAAGGTGGGTGTGGGCCCTCCATGTCAAATTCACAAGTTAATGATTTTTCCAGGACAAAACATTTTGTGTGTAGTGTTTGTATGGGATAAGCAATCTGCACCGGGCTTCTCCCTGAATTTCTCGTTTTTATCGAATGGTGAAAGTCTGCCAATAGTTAATTCCTTACCCCATCATAATACCATGGAATTTGGCAAGGAACTTTGGGAAACATTGGGGCTATTACAATGCTAGCGATGCAAAAATAATTGAGCGTAGTTTGAGGCACGTATGTATGTAAAAATGTTCTCTCCCCTCTTCACCAGATGGCAAAGTGTGGGTCATCATATGAGGCGCTGCAAGGACCAAATATCACTGGATACAGATGTAACGACCGTCAGTACTGCAAGTTCCACTTCTATGACCTCACCTTTGCACACTACTCCAGAACCACGCCCACCTCCTCACTGGGGAATGGAACCATGCCCACCTCAGTTGGGAATGGAGCCATGCCCAACTCTTATCAGAATGAAACCACGCCCATCCCATAACAAATAAACAACTGTTGTTCTACAATTAAGTTGGTGTTGTTTCGACTTTTTTTAAAGAATAATTGCCGTCCATTTCCAAAACATTTTCAATTTTGATTCAGCCTGTAAACTTGTGTATTATAGTGCTGGCAAGATTTTTCAATCAGTCATGTGATATTGTAATCTCAGTTGTGTGACGCAAGCTCACGTGCCTATATCACAGTACTAACAACAAAAACTGCAACAATGTCATACATAAACAGAACAGTATTATACAAATATACACACATGAAATGTGTGCTGGAGAAACAGCTGATTTGTCACTGGGAGTGATATGTACCACACTCTGGAGATGGAGTAACGAGGGGGTGTGGCCTGAAGGGGGCGGGGCTACAATCGGAGGAGGGTCTCCAGGTGTGAGGTGGTGTGGTAGCGCCCCATCTCACACCGAATGTCAATACTGAAAATGAACAAGGGGAAAGTCGAAAAGTTTTGTGAATTTTAGCGAAATGATGCCGATCTTCAGTTTATTTGCTTGTCGACAATGGACCACACTTGCTAGCAAAAGTATTCTGATTACTCCGAGTCTCAAATTCCAAGGATCGAACCCCTCTCTGAGGACACCCCGGAAATGAGAGGACACCACTCCAATAAGGTTCCAAGAACAGTTCTCGAGTACAATTTAACCCTGAAAAGGGGGTTAAATTGTCAGAATAGCGTAGCATGCCGTCTCACAGCACCTCTATCTCAATAGGCACAACCACAACAGGCGGCAGCTGACACGGCAACAAGTCAATAGGATTAGTTGGTTTTCAATAGCCGCCATTTGTTCAATTACTCCTGTTAACCACACCATAATTATGATAATAACAAGCCCTGTATATACCTACCAGCTGCTCCCTGATTCAGTGACACACACCACTCAACAGATCTCCCACAGACAAGCAGCTACTACTCTCTAGTATGTACATGCATACAACGACCACGTATCTTGCAACAAAAGTGGCTATTATTCATTTTCTGCCTGACAGGCAACAGCGAGATTGAGGATTGCTAAAAGCAACCGACTACACGAAAGAAATGGAGACTAAAAGCCAGGGCTGTGTCTTTGCGATGCCTGAATCGACCAGTAGGTAGCTTCCACAATTCAACAGATAGAGATCAGAGATAGAGCCCAGAATGAGTGCCGTTTAACCCCACATGTACCGAATACGATTACGGACTGCCCTACTCACCTTGTTAACCCCTCCGGGTCCAGATGCTGGGAGATAAGTTTCCTCACGAGCCTCGAGTCGATTCCCTCGTAGACGCCGGTGTAGAACACCTCCACTCTGACCCTCGGCTTGAACTGCCCCTTGTCCGGATGTGCACTGTTGTAGAAGGTGGCGTGCTTAGAGTAGCGCTGCAGCATCCCGCACTCCAGGAAAAATTCGAAATCCGGCATTGACTGTGGGCAAAGGGTTAACGTAATAATACAGCGAGCAACAGGTTAATGTTTTTTTATACAGTGCACAGAGGGTTTAATGTAAATGCAGTGGGAAGAATAAAATAGTAATATAGTAGTTAGAGGGTTAAAACTTAACTTCATATCCAGTGGGAAGAGGGTTAATACACTATCTATACAGGGAAGGAGCATCAAAATATCCATTACTTTGTATGGTGAAGCCTTAGCATGCTAATGCTATAGTGGTAATGGGCTATTCACAGTAAGGGAGGGGACAGGAATCCAAGGTAGTGAGGTAACACCTTTATCTGTGTGTACTCCCTGTTCCTATGGAAATGTGAGCTTCTATTTCGAGTCACAACACTGCAACCATACGCAGTGGTTCTGTAGAAGGCATCACGGAAATATATACACCGGCAGATAGTATCTGTAACTAAGCCAACAACATTGTGAATATAAACTAGAGCTTTAGAGCACCGAAACATGCATCGCCAGGTGATGGTTTATCCTGCCTCATGTATGCAGTTCCTGTGTGTATGGCTGCTGGTAGGTATGTGTTACTTCACTGCAAAGGTTCTAAAGATTGTGGTAACTAGTAAGAATCCCGCTACCTATAATGGTGTGCTGACCTGCATAGTGGCCAAACTGAACACCTGCTACAGCATACAGTAATCCTCTACACTAATCTCATAGTCTACAGCCACAGTGCCATCAGCAGCCCATACAAGTCCGTGTCACTCCTGGCCAGTCTATTGACAGTAATGGAGCAAGGCTCCCCATACATTGAGCACCACAGTCAACACTCTGACCTTGCCATATCACATACATTGCCGCATTACAGTAGTGTAGGAAAAGTATCATACACTAATGGAGTTTACTCTATGGATATCGATGGAGTGGCTACAACTGTCAGCATGCAATATAGCAGTTCCAGCAAGCAATACACAGCACTTGAGGCAGAAATGCTCACTACAAAGAAAAAGGCAGTCCAAACGGGTATAAAATTTACTCTCTGGCTGTTTCCCTATAAGCAGGGCAGTACTAGAAGCACCTGGCTAACAATAGGGCCTTCTTTCCTTCCTGGGGCTCCAACCAGGAGTGTAAATACCACTGTATTGTGTTGTGGAGGAGAGACATATGGGATTACAGGCTGGGTAATGATGGGGGAAGAGATTGGTTTGTGTGGCTGCCACTGCTGGTTGTGGAGGTGCTGGCTGCAGTCCAGCTGACTTGAGGAGGCGTGAGCAGCCTCCTCCACACAAACTGATATGAGTCTGATAGAGACATGTCATAGGCGAGACACGTGTCCATACATTACGTGTGCACGCACACACACACACACACGTGTATATAGATCTCAGCCAGGACAGGCTCTTTCTTCATACACCCAAATTATACAGACATGTTTTCTAAAGCCCTGGAGAGAATCGTGATGCTGACACGGTGTGTACCCGCAAACCCTAGAGAACGTCCCCATTACCCTCCCATAGGTGAACTGCGCGAGCTGTTGCGGAAGACCATTTTGTCGACATACACGGCCGGCAACTTGACTTTTCTCTCTCAAATGCAGCCGACCACAGTTACCCAGTAAAAAAACTAGAACACGACTATATGGGTTTATCCCCGCTCGTATTGGACAGAGACGGACCTGCTGAAGGTCTCCAAGTAGCTCGTCGTAGCCTCCCTCGTTGAAGTGGCAGTTCTCAAGCCGCTGAGCGGCAGCTGGGAACGTGATGACGACGTACACGCGGCCCCTGGAGATGGCGCGGAGAGTCGTCTGCCCGTCTCCGCCGTTCTCCTTGGTCCGCGCGTCTGGCGGCGGGCGACTGCTCTTTCCTCCCATTGCTGGCTGGATGGGGGATCACTAGTAAACACCTGAGCTAGATCTCGTCTTCTTCACACACGCTAGCTTCTAGCTAGCTATACAGAGTACAGTGCAGCCCGGACATACACAGCGCGCATGCGTACTCGTGAGCGCCCCGCCAGCGCGCATGCGTACTCGACTCGTGAGCGCGCCTCCTCCAGCGCGCGCGCTAGCTATAAGCTGTTACGTACGTACGTACGTGTACGCGTACACCGTCGACCGCGGACCCATCATTGCGCACCATCAATCAGTAGAACTGGCAACACAGAGCTGTACAGAAATTCGATCTGGATTTGGCTACACTGGAGTGGCTGGAGTGTTTATGTTCCTTGAGTTGCCTCCAATTTGAAATGATGCAGTCTGCGCACTGCACGAGGATTGATCTCCCAGTGCTGGTTTAGAGTAGTAGGTGACCCACAATGATATTATTATGACTCTCCACCAGTCTTGACGCACTTTAGAATTGAAGACACACACAAACAGGAAGATAAAGACGCCCTGCCCCAGACTACAGACAAGGTAAGGGACAGCAGTCAGAAGGCGAACAATGCTGGGGGCGTTATCGTCGGAGGCAACAAGAGCAGAGCCCCACCCCAATGTAGCCATGATCAAAAGACACAGAAATAGCCTCATCCTTCTCTTGAGCTTGTCTGTGTGGCGTCTAGCCGGATCGGTTTCACTTGGGATATGCTCGCTATGTCGTGAGTTGCAAACAGCTCTGATAGAGAGGGCCATGAAAAGTGTTGAGAATAGCAGGAGAAACATCGCCGGTAGGACAATTCCAATATATAACGCAAATCCTTGGGCTGAACATCTGCATAATGTACGTAATTATGGGTTTTAACCACTTCAATTGGTAAACTCACACTTTCAAGTGTTTAGCTTCATAGTACTGATGGTGATCAGCAGCAACACAAATGACAGCCACCAACAGAGGAAAAACTGAAAGAAGAGATGTCTTAATTAAAATAAGCACCCTCGGAATCTACTTACCCCAAGTTACCACAATAGTCTTGGCAACAAAGTGGCGAGGCTCTTCAGAGAACACTAAAACTAGTTTCAAGTGGAGCCACAGAGCATAAGCTGCAATAGCGGTGAGCATCGCGAGGAAAAACCAGTGTCCTAGCACTGCTAATGCGACACAGCCGGCCTTACTCCCACTGGTCCACACAAATTTGTTGCAGGTGCTCTCCAGGTAAAGGAGGAAGAGGGAGAGACAAAAGTTTATCATGAGGACACCTGTCACCGTGTTTCTTCTCCTGTTTAGGGATAAAAACGTATTATACAACTGCAGTACCTGCAGCGCTATTGAATGATCTTGCCTTGTGAGGGTGTACGTAAGTATCACGATAAGGAGACACAGCTCGGACGTTATTTCCGCCGCAATATAGACGATATCTATCGGAGACAGCTCCCGCGGCCAGTCGCTGCTATTCCACGTACAGTTTTGATGGAGCATCTCCGGAGAGTCGGTCGCTGAATTATTGTTCTCCGGTGGCGGGAGTGACAATCACATAATTCTGTCAAATTGGTCGGCTGTTGAGGAGGCGCAGTTCGCAAGAGAGCCGCCGCCACGGAACCTTGCTTCATGCGCATGCGTAAACTTCTGCACACACACGTTGAGAGATGTCGGGGGAGGGAGCCGGAGGCATGGCGAGATGGAAGGGAAGAGTAGCTCTCGTGACCGGAGCCTCAGTTGGCATCGGCCATGAGACTGCCAGACAGTTGGCCGTGTCCGGCATGACAGTGGTGGGCTGTGCAAGAAACACTGCTAAAATAGAGGTATATACGCAGTAAGTAGTAACTCGTGCATGGTTGCGAAACGTCTGTGTGTTCGCCAGGCTCTCTCCTCCGAACTGACTGCCAGTGGAGGTGGGAAGGTGGTAGCAGTAAAGTGTGACGTCAGGAACGAAGAAGAGGTGGTGGCAATGTTTGAGAAGGCAGTGAAGGAGTTTGGTGGAGTTGATGTGCTGGTGAGCAATGCTGGACTGGCTCACAATGAGCCACTGCTCACTGGGAACACTAGTCAATGGAGAGAGATGATAGAAGTAGGCTGACTGGCCGAATCGTGTCGTTACTAATGGTGTGGGGTGTTTGCAGGTTAATGTGCTAGGTCTGTGTGTCTGCAACAGAGAGTATATCAAGCAGGCGAGAGAGAGGGGAATGGACGATGGTCACATAATCTTACTCAACAGGTGAGATTTTGCAGATAAGGTTCCCGTGGAAAGGTTTTTTTCCTCTGTCAGCATGTCAGGTCATCGTGTCATCAGCAGTAAAGCCACTAGTTTCTACTCTGCTACGAAACACGCTGTCACAGCTCTCACCGAAGGCCTTCGTCAAGAACTGAGGGAAATAAAGTCTGGAATTAGAGTCACAGTATAAGCAGTCCATTCTGAGATATCTTCACCTCTTATCCCTATCTCTCTACTCGCAGGGCATATCTCCAGGTCTTGTGCGAACTGAGTTTGGGCCGCGGCTGGAAAAGGCTGCAGATGTGGATCAGGCAAAGAAAGACTACGACAAGAAAGTCAATGGAGTGAGGAGAATCAACCTTTCATAGCCAGGAAATTTGAGTATCTTCTCTCTTTATCTTTCTCTCTACCAACTGCTCAGCCATTGGAGGCAGAGGATATTGCCAGTGCCATTCTGTACGCCATCTCCTGCCCTCCCAGAATGCAGGTAAGGCAAAAGGTATAGTTTGCGGTTCTTAAAAATGTTTTTCACTGCAGATTCACGATATTCTCGTGCGACCGACTCACCAGGTCGCCTAGAGATCTGGACACGAGACTAGGTCGCCTGATAAGCACTTGTTTTTTCTTGGCTCAGCACACCGAATACGCATGCGCGAGCTGCGCGCTGCTGCACATGCGCACAAGTGTTTTTGCGGCGCGAGCTATATAGCTAGCTACACCGTACGCGCGTACGTCGCGTCGCAGTGGATTTCGCAGCTACTCGTCGTCCCTGGTCGCCCGGAAGAGAAGAGCACAGGCAGTGACGTTTATCGGCTGTTTTTTACTCATCGGAGAAGGCGTAAGCACGCTATACCATAACCCACGAAGGTACGCGTTGCCACAGGCACATGCCTGGAGCTGTTGCAACGCAGAGCTCAGGTCCTCGATTTTCTAAACGGCTGCACAAGGACGCCTAGGAATATTATGTTGATGTGTGATGTAGCTGAGGTGTGTTGTTCCCTCGTTGCTGTGTCTTCCCACGCGGTGGCTAGGTCCTATAAACTTCCTGTTTCATGTATTGACAAGCTGCGAGGGCTGCTGTGGTAGCATGTCTAAGAGGGAGGGGAAGAGGTGGGATGTGTAGCTGCTATACAGAACGGGGACAAGGTGCTAGCAGCAGAAGCAATGCCCTGATCATGTTTCTCGGTGCAGACTGTGAGCTGAGAGTAGTGCTGCTCTATTGTGGAGAGGAGACTCATTTGTGCCATAGTAGCTGCCATGAATGGACAGGTAAAGAGAGCATCCGCACTGTCTAATGGGGTACATTTCCTGGAGCAAGGGTGTCTGCATCCCTCTATAACCACAATACATTTCCTGCCCCTACTTTACTCCCTGTCTCATTGTCATTACAACACAGGTTCCTACTGCTGTGGACTGGCTGAAGGAAGTCCCTAAACAAATAGACTTGAACAGTCAGACTGAGTTCAGCATATGTTTGCCCGATCCCCCATCTTCCTTGCTGGTGACTGTTGAACTGAGATCACTAGTAGACGGCTCTGTAGCTGAGTGTAAGGTGACAGAAGCTGAAGGGAAATATACAGTCTCGATTCTCCCCACCTGTCGTGGCCGACACGAATTGACAATCAGTGCAGGGGGTACCCCATTGGAGGGAACCCCATTGAAAATCCTGGTCTGTTGCCCCCCACAGATGCTGGGGAGACCAGTGAATATCATAAATGGAGTGAGCCGGCCAGCGGGTGTGGCACTGCGAGGGAACGGCGAGCTTGTCGTCACGGAGACCGAACCTGCTGCCGTGTGCATCCGGGACCGGGAAGGAAAGGTGATAAAGTCGTTAGAGCAGGGGTCGCCCCAACTGGACAGTCCATACGGAGTTGCCATCGATTCGGAGGGGTGCATATACGTGGCCGAGTTGATTGACTGCAAAGTCCACAAGTTTTCGAGAGACGGAGAGTTCCTCAAGGCAGTTGGTGGAGAATGCAGCGGCAAAGAAGATGTAGGTTTCCCTGCTGGGATCAAGATCAACCGCCAAGACCATATCTACATCTGTGACGACACAAACAAAAAAGTGCATGTTTTCGACAAGAACCTAGACAAACTGTTTAGTTTTGGGGAGAGTGGGGAGGCCCCAGGTCATTTTCAGGGCCCGTCTGACGTGGCGTTTGACGCAGACGGAAACATCTTTGTCGCCGACACGAAGAAAGAGAAGATAATGAAGTTCTCTGCTCGTGGAGAGTTCTCTTCCGAGTTCGAAATCAAAGGTCAAAGTTCGGAGCTAGAGCTGGGAATCTGTGTTGGACCGAGTGGACACTTGTTTGTCTCAGACTTCTGGAATAATCAGGTGGTGGTGTTCGATGCAAGTGGGCAGTTTGTGACGTTGTTTGGGAGGAAGGGGGCGGAGCCAGGGGAGTTTGACACGCCTGCGGGGATAACTGTGGACGACGATGGATTTGTGTACGTGTGCGACCAGCTCAACAGTCGAATACAAGTCTTTTAGAAACTCATACAGAGTAGTCAAAACTGAAGTGCTTTCGTGATCAGCTCCAACAGAAGTTAATATGTGTGGTCATGACTCACAATCAAAACATCCACAGCCCATGTACAACACTATACGTCAGATTCTAAAGTAAACCACATGTTGATGTTGATGTTGATGCAAGTGCTAGTGGTGTGGCTAGTGGTGTGCATGACAACCGAGCTAGTGGTGTGCATGGGTCTATACAATAATATGGTTTATAGACCCTATAATACAACACTGTGACATCATAGATTTTGTTGGTCTAAAAGTAGCAACCAATTATAATACTTGATGTATGTACAAGTGTACATTGGGCTAGTGGTGTCTGTGTATGGGTCTGCACAACTGTATTGTAGTACATATATTATAGATCTGGCAATGTAGCTGGCTGTGCTTTCTGCCACCTCGATGATGGTGTTATTGCAGTATTTGTGTGACGACCCCGTGGCCGATGGTTTTCCCTCCATCTCTGAGCGTGAACCTCTGACCTGTCTCCAGAGGAATGTCGTGTTTCAGAACGAGTGTTAGCTCCGTGT